TTAAGTATAGTTTAAATTTCTTCACTGTGTTTTCCTTTATATCCTTGAACAGTTATAACAGCTTTTTTATAGTTGTCTAATTCCAACCTCTTTTCTGTTTCTGGGCCTGTTTCTTCTAACTGATTTCTCTTAAGGTTTTTGGGTAACGTTTTCCTGCTTCATGTGTTTGCAATTTTCAGTTGAACAATGAACATTATGACTTATTGATAACTCTTGGGAATTTTGTTATTTTTCATTTGTTCTAACAGCCAGCCAAGGTGCTTGTTCTTGATCATTATTAAGTTGGATCCAGAGTAATTTTTTTCTCTAGGGTGACTTCTAAGATTTGGCCTTTCTGGGATCTCCACTGAATGCTCCAGATTCACATGCAGATCTCTTCACTGCAGGTGGCCCAAGCTCATGTCTCTCAGCCTTCTGTGAGGTCTGGAAATTGTTAGCTTTAACTCTTCTCAGACTCACTATGACTGTGCTATGCTTGTTTTTTTCTCTCTGCCCCAAAGTATAATAAGTGCTTCTAGGTAGAAAGCTAAGTTAATCTCAAGATTTACCTCATTTTACTTCTTGTTTCAGGTCATAGTCCAGTACTGCCAAATGTCCGGCATATGATAAATGTTGCTTTGTGTGTTTTTGTCTAGTGTTCTAGTTGTTGAGCACTGAGAGGACTTCTCATTTAATGATTAGCCTGAGCAAGAAGCAAAAGTCTGTTAGGACCTGGGGAGAAGGGACAGCAAAAACTTTATTGGGCTGTAATATGGCTATCAAAATTTTAACTGTCAGCTGTGTGTGGTGGCTCAAGCCCATAATCCTATAATCCTATTACCTAGGAGGCACAGATTGGGAGGATAGTGGTTTGAGGCAAAAAGTTTGTGAGACCCCCATCTCAACCAATAGCTTAGCACAGTGGTGTGCATTTGTCATCTTAGCTATACAGGGAAGCACAAATAATCCAGGCCTGCCCAAACATAAAGCAAGACCCTAACTCAAAAATAACCAACATGAAAAGGGATGGCAGAATGGCTGAAAATAAAATAAAAAATAAAAAAAAATTTAAGATTTAAAAATAAAAAAAGAATCTGTCTTAGGTTTATAGTTCAGTGACTTTCAGTAAATTTACCAAATTAAGCAACCATTACCATAATCTGGTTTTAGAAAATTTTAATCTTCCCAATAAGATCTCTCATACTCAATTACAATTAATCCCCTTCTTCAATCCAACCACTAATCAACTTTCTTTTTTGATAAATATGCCTTTTGTGGACATTTTATGTAAGTGAATCATACAATATGTAGTCTTTTGTAACTGGTTTCTTTTATTTAGCCTAATGTATTTAAGGTTTATCATTTGTATATGTATCAGTGTTATGGGAAACTCAAACAGAGATACGGGACTCAGGCAAGGAAGCATTGCTTTATTGTGCCCCAGCACAGACTCAGTGGACTCGTGTCCAAAGGCTGAGCCCCGAGAACAAAGGGGTCTCACTTTACCCTTGCAAGCGGGTTACAGAGGCAATAAAATAATAATTGAAAAAAAAACAAGGTTTAACCCATATATGGGTATATGCAATTCTATAGGCTACTTCACCCTAGTGTTTAAGTGCCCCTCTACCCCTAGTGCTAAGTGATCTTCTTTACGTTTGGATTATTGAGGGTTTATCTCTGCTGTGCCATCCCTTTCCCCCTGCTACTTTATCAGAACACAGGTCTGTCTGCTGGTCATCCTCCCTGCTACATCAGGATTTCATTCCTTTTTATAGTTGAATAGCTGATTGTATAAATATACCACATTTTGTTTACCATTTACCAATAGATGGAATTTGGGTTGTTTCTACTGTTTGACTGTTTTGAATAATATTACATGAACATTTATGTGCAAAGTTTTTATTTGGACATACCTTTTCATTTCTCTTGGGCAAAATACCTACAAGTGGAATCGCTGGGTCATAGGATAAATACACTTAGTTTATAAAGAAACTTTCACTTTTTCAAAATAGCTGGAGCATAACACTTTTTTTTTTTTTTTTTTGATGGGACTGGTGTTTGAACTAAGTCTTCACACTTGCAAATAAGGCACTCTGCCACTTGAGCCAAACCTCCAGTCCATTTTGCTCTGGAAGTTTTGGAGATTGGGGTCTAGTGAACTGTTTCCCTGAGCCTTGATTCTCATGATTTCAGCCTCCCAAGTAGGTAGGATTACAGGCATGAGCCACCAGGACCCAGCTAGCATTGTACATTTCTACAAGCAGTATATGATGGTTCTGTGGGGGAGTTTTTATTATTTGTAGAGACAGATACCTAAGTAACTTCTTAAGTGTAATGTGCTTCTTGCAAAAATTGTCATCTTTACTTTTTCTTATATTTTTAATGAAAAAAACCCAAACCAAATCCTTTGATTCAGACACAGTAGATGAACAACAAATGAGCTTTGATCTTCCAACCATCCTTGCCCTGAAGCACAAGTCAAAGGTTTTGGGTGTCGTTCTTTGGATCCCTTTCTAGATCATTGTCTCTACCAACAGGTCCTACTCTGATTTGGACAGCTAGGACTTATTTGCATCTGTCCTTCTTCACATTTTATAGCTGCATCCATCTAGCTAGCATCTCTATAATAGGAGAAAGATGCCTTTGGGGGAAACTCTTCATTCTTTATGTCTCCATTTTTCTTTAAGGCCTTCATTTAGAATATAATCCCATTAGAGATATAGGCTATACCATTGTAACAAGTATTCATTAATTCACAGATTTTGTATGAGTTTTTAAAGAAAGAAAGAGAAATAAAACTAGGTTCTGGTCTTCAGGAAGTTCAATCTGGATGTGAAGGTGATCTGGCTGCAATATTTTTCACTTCATTGATTGCCAGGATTGATTTGGCTGGCTGGGTGTATGTCCCTTCGTCCCTCACTGCTCCATGTGTGTCCCTCCCAAAACTGTTGCATCCTCAAAGAGGATGACCTTCCCTGATAGAGGAGGACTGTTCTTTGGTCAAGAGTGTAAGAATAGCTTCACTTTTCCTGCTAGAACCTCCAAACAGTCTCTCAGGAAGATCAGTGTAAAATAGATCTTTAAAGCAAGAATATAGTGTGGTAATTGCTGTAGTAAAAGCTGTAGTAAATTGCTGTAGTAAAATGCTTTGGGAGCATACTGTTCATGGTGTAAGAAGATGCATCAGAGCTGTTGCAGAAAACACAGTTGTATCTGTAGTTAAGGATAACCAGAATTGAGTATCTGATGCAGTTAAAACAGTTTTTACAAAGGCATAAGGTCAGAATTGCAAACTGTGAAAAATAATCTGGCATAGTGAGAGTTTGGGTGCATATGGGGTACTGAGTAAGACAGAAATATGGAAAAGTTGGTCTGGGGATGTAGCTTGGTGGTAGAGGGTTTGCCTAGTGTGTGAGAGACCCTGTGATCTATCCCAGTCACCAAAAGAAAAGACAAGACCCTGGAAAAGTAAGTCAGATATGAATTGTTTGGGATCTTAGCCTTCTGCTAATGTGATTAATGTATGACAGATACTTGGGAGCCAGTGAATGCTTTTAATGCAGAGGAGTCAAACAATCAACTGTGTCTCTCTCTATTGAAACAGGCCTGTTTGAAATAGTGAGATTAGTGATAGGGAGATTGGATTGGAGAGTTTTAATAGTTAAGGCAAATGAACTTAGAGTAGAGATGTTGACAAGTCATGTGAAGATATGTGAGAGGCAGTATTTAGGATTTAGCAATCCTAGTATATAAGAAAGAGGCAAGAATGGCCCATCACCCTGACTGTTAGCTTGGGTGGAGAAGATCCCATCACTCAGTCTAGGGAATGAAGAAAAGAGCAGGAGGAGATGTGGAGATAATTCCAGGTAAAATTTGAGCTCCCTACAGGATTCAGAATACCAGTAGGCAATCAAATCTAGGTTAGAATATCAGTAAATTGGTACTTGTTAGAAACAGAAGTGTATGGAATGACCAAGAGAAGATATGTAATGGGCAGAGAATTCTTTGAAGAGTGTTGGGTGATAGTAAAAGCTTTTCTTTCTTTTTTTTTTTTTTTTCTCCTTTTTTCTTTTTTTGTGGTACTGGGGATTGAACCCAAGGCCACCTGAGCCATGTCCCCAGTCCAAGAGTAAAAGCTTTTGATGATGAGACTAAGCACCTATGAGAGCCTTCCTTCTCTGTTTTCCTCCAGTGTTGTTCCCTACTCTTGATCATCTTGTACTCTCTTCCATCATCCATCATGTGGTGAGTGTTAAGTCAAATCTTCCTTTTGAGAACCTCAGAACTGAATCATTGCTTATTGTTGACACAATTGAGAAGGAGCAGTTTATTTACTGCTACTTCCTGGTTTAAGATTAACATTCATCACAAGTCATAGATGTCCCTAAGTATGTTATGTTAGTATTTGTTGGATTCAGGAAGTTGCAGAGGGTGGTATCAGGGGCCAAGAGTTTTTTCAACTGGTACCAGTTTTGGAGTTAGAGCAGTAAACCAATGGGCTTGCTGTACATTTATAATCCACAAATCTGGACCACCTCCAGAATAGGAGGCCCACTGGTTTCTAGTAGTGTCTTAAAGAACTTTTGTTCCCCCCTTTTTGTTTTTTTTTTTTTTTGTAAACTGCTTTTTTGAAACACTATTGCTAGAATGTACCTTAGAGATCCTTTTGTTCCTGTTCTTCCCCTCCCCACCACACCTTATCCTTTTTTTTTCTTTTAACAAATGAAGTTGCAGCTTAGAGCTTTGTCTAGAAGCACCCAGTGAAATGTTTTTTTGTTGTTTCTAAAAGTGGCAGCAACTCTAAAACAGAATACACTAAGCTTACTTTATTTTCAAAAATTATATTAACATTTTAATTAATGTACACCCAGATTTGTGTGTTGGAAAACGTAGGTTGAATTGAATGTGTTGTGTTTCTGATGGCTCAGCTTATTCTGTTTCTGGATTCATGTTGTCCCCCAAAATACAGTTCTCCATTAAATAATTGCTTACATTTCATATTACAAACAGTAATTAAAATCAGGGAGAGAGAAGTAGTAGCTGAATATATTCTGTCCTTCCTTTTTCAGAACCCATTTCTATGGCTTAATAAGCCACAACCCTCAGTTCTAAGGCACATGGCCTTTGTGACCTGGTTGTGTCTGTATGTATAATAAAGTATCAAATTTGCATTTGTCGTATTACACATTCTGTGTACAGGTACCAGAGCCACTCAATAAGCTTAAGGCAATCGCCAACTTAGCCAGAAGGACTCAAGCCTTACTTTGGGTAAGGTGTAAGGTGCTATAAGGCCTCCCTCGTCATGTCCAGACCAGATTTTCTGCAATTCCAGATGTGCTCTAGGCTGACAGCAGGGTCAACTTCGAAAGGCAGTAGGCTCTGACTTTCTGTTAGGCCCTTTTGCCTGCTCATTTCATTGTGTGCTCTCATCTGGCCATTGCTCACATAGATTCCCACCAGAATGTTCCATTGACAGTATAAACCAAAATTTTTTTAAAAAGCAAGCTAATTATTGTAGAGAACCTCGGAGGAACACTTTGCATTTTTATATGTTATAGTCCTCATCCTGCTCTGGTGATTTTCACAAATCTCAGGCTACTTGCTGAGATATTCCCTGCCCTATGAAGGTAGCCTGTTCTATGTTGGGGACCGTTGGTCCAGTCTAGTGTCTTCTGGCGCTAAAGGACTTTTAATTGACAATTGGTTTGGGAGGGTGGGGTTAATAGCACTTGGACTTGGGAGTTTATTATTAGAAAAGCTAAAATTTTAATGGAACTAAAATTTTAAATGGGACTTTTTGGGAGTGGAGCAGGGGGAGTCTCAAAGTTGTTCATGTTGATAACAAGTACTATCCTTGGCGCTGACTCTGACTCTTTTGTTCGGCATTGGGCTTGAGGAAGTGTTAGCTACTTTCTGAAATTATTTCCCATGCCACTTGCAGACCACAAACCAAGAAAAATGGGGTTCATGAATTTCAGTACTCCCAGCAATACTTCATTTTAATTTATGGTTTCTATGATGTAAGTCATGGAAACATTCATTTGAACATTTTCTATCTTAATCCCAATTGCTTAGCACTCAAAGGGACCAAGAGAACTCATAGACAGAACTCAGTGGATTGTGGTTTATAAGTGTTTTTAAAGCTCTCCCAACCTCACTAAATCAAAGATTAAATTAGCATTTACTTAGTTTTAAATACATACCTTATTCAGAGGGAAATAGAACAATCATTCCTAGGTACACAGTACCCTCACTAAGCTTGGACTCTTCCATAGGACCAGGATCCTGGAGATGGCTGTCATATCTGAAGGTACTTTCTGTACTCCTTGCTGTTGCCTCTTATTTCTGAGATCTACAAGAGAACAGCTGGGAATATATTGAATTTTTCTTAGCTTATTCAGAGCTTTACCCCTTACTATCTGAAGTCTTATTGTGAAACACACCCATATTTTCTACAACTGGGAAAAAAAAAAAATCTCAAAACATTTGAAGATAGTTACTTGTGGGTTTTTGTCCTGAAAACAGAAGTTGGATCTGTATGTTCTTTCTACTCTATCCTCCAACCCCACCCCATCCACACTCTCCCACTGCCACAGAAAAAAAAAGTAAAAAATGAAAAATATGTAAAGTTTTTAAATAACAAATCAGAGAAAAGCTGATTTGTAGCAACCCAGAACCAAGGAAGTGCTTGGTTTTCTCAGGGGCAAGTCCAGAGCAGGAGGAGTTGAACAGCTTCTTCAGCACTGAAGCCTTTGTACAGTTTGTGAAAATGGAGAAAACAGAACTGGGATGTAGGTGAGGAATTGAAAAAATTCTCTGTTTTAGGCCCCTAGCAAAAGTATGAAGTACCTATAACACCTAGATCCATTTCAAAGTACTGGTGCAACGGTAATCCTATCTTCTCTGGAGGCAGAGATTGAGAGGATAGAGGTGTGATGCTCGCCCAAGCAAAAAGTTTGAGAGATCCTTTCTCAACCAATTTAAAAGAAAAAAAAAAAAACCTTAGATCCATCTGAAACAACTTGTATTTAAAGGGGAGTGCTCATGATGATTATTTTGCATGGAGAAGCACACTTCCTGAGAAGGGGCTTCATGGCGAGTCATAGGCAAAGATGTGAGGAGATGGCCTGCATGCAGGTGCTCTGAATGTCACAGCTTTTAGTTCATCACCTCCTGGCAGTGCCTGGTTTGGAAGAATGTGGCAGCCTGTCCTCTAGCAGTACCAAAAGAGAGTGGTCCTGGGTTTATAATCTTGACCATCTTGGGACAAAGTATCTTCTGTGTCTTAGCATCCACTCATTTGTTCACTGGCTTTGAATGACCGTCATTCCCCTTCCCCTGATCCTATGCCCACCCCCATAGTCTTCATTCCTGAATTAGAAGTGCCAACCTCTAAGGAGTCTCCTGCATGCTGAGACTGCCTTCTATAGTCTGGGCAACTTCACCTTTGGAGGAAAGGCAATAAGTACCAAGGATCTTCAGAATAGAGAGCACTTAACTTTATCCTGGAATCCTAGAATGTCAGCTGGGGAGAGGTCAAGATCCTTGAGTCCAGATCTCACTTGATAATGTGGGGAGATAAAGCTCAGGATAGGGTCTTGAGGGTCCAAATCATATAGCATGTTGTTCTGCAGAGAATGACTCTGGATCTGGAATTGTATACCGATACCAAGAATGTAACTTTTGAGTTAGGGAAAAGGATTGGAACTTGGCTTGTAAAGGAGGCCAGAGCCAGATGACAGGATTTGAAACATAGCAGCCAAGTTGACTCCAGATCATGCTCCTGAGTCAGGGTTTCTAAGTGGATCCTAATTTAAAGAGTTGGGTAACCCAGCTAAGGACAAAGGAGGGTTTTAGGACAGTAGGACAGCACTAAGCTGACTTCTCATTGTTAGCACTGTTGTATTTTCTCTTCCATTTATAGACATCGAAAAAGCCCAAGACAGCAGAAGCGGACACTTCCAGTGAACTGGCTAAGAAAAGCAAAGAAGTATTCAGAAAAGAGGTAAGGTTTAGCAGATGTGGGCATTTAGGTTCTCAGGCTTAAACCTGAGCTGCTCTTTTTTTCTTCTCCTAAATATGTACATCTCTCTTGCCCATCTTTGGGAAGGAACATAAGGTTTAGCTTGAGTATCTTGCTGAAGTTCTGCTTTACCCATCAAGAACTCCTCAACTGTTTCTTACTGGCTTGACAGGAGCCACTCTGCAGGCCACATTTATGTGTTTCACTGTGGGCCTTCTCTGGGATCTAAAGCAAAGAAAAACTATATGTAAGTGTTAGGCTGCCTTATCTTTGGGTACTTCCCTAGTTCTGTGATTTGACTGTGTGGTTAAATGATTACACATTGGTATAACTCTTTATAATTGGGTAAGCACTTTCATATCCATTACTTCATTTTATCTCCATAATAGCCCTTAAGGTAGTCAAGACAGAAACTGTTATTCTCTCATATAGGTGGAAGAACTCAGGTTCAGAGAATGCCAAGTTCTTCACAAAAGACTTGAACTTCAGGCCTTCTGGCTTAAGTCAGAGTTCTCTTTCTTTGATGTCTGCTCTGATGGCTGCCTACTCATCAAGAGATGGAGAGAAAGCAGTTCCTCTTTATGCTGTTGGCAGTGTGTGTTTCTAGCTATCAGTACACTGAACTTCTTGCCTGCCTCAAGGCACCCATATTCTAAACTCCAGTCAACATTCATCGAAGGGGCTCATGGTGTGTTGGAGGAAACAGACATGAACTAAGTAATGGGAGCTGTGTGAAGAGTGTGCCATGGTAGGGCTGGAGACCACTATTCACAGTGTCAGAGGGCTCTTGAATCGGATAGAAATTGGTCAAGAAGGATCTGGAAGGTATGTAACTTTAGGCAGTAGAATGCACAGAGGCAAGAGAAAGCGTTGTCTCTTCCAGGGAATTGTAAGTAGTCCTGCGGACTGTAGCACAGGGCATGTGAGGGGTGTTGGAAATGAGTTTGGACAGTATTGTGCCCTTCATATAGAGGCTGTGTCTGTTGGTTTCAGGGAACCACCAACAGGATTTTAAGCAGGGGGTAATAAAAACCCTGACTATATTTGAGGGATAGATTGAAAGGAGAGTGTATGGAAGCCAGGCAACTGTAGATAACTTGAGTAAAAGGCTTATCCAGCCAGGCATGGTGATGAATGCTTCTAGTTCAAAAAGCGTATCCAGAAATAAAACTTAGTTTCTCACTGTCCCTATGTGAAAGTGTTGGTGTTTCAGCTCAGCCAGTCAGCAGCTACTTATTTAGTGCCTATCTTCTGACCCAACTTTGTTCTTTGAACACCTGAGGCTCATGGAGTTTCAGGGACAGGTAGACCATGTTCAAGGTGCTTCCTGAGGCAGTAGCTGTCACTGGCCTTTTTCTTCCCTTTGTCCCCTGTGATCTTATATCATAATTACTTTCAGAGGTCCTGTGCTTGGAGTCTCTTTTGAAAACCGCTGGTTGAGATAGACCCTATAGAGATGACCCAAGGAAGACATTAGAAGTGCTGGAATAAAAAGGGCCCTGCCCCCAGTCATCTTTTTCTGGCTGTTGTATCATTTTTCCAACTGCTTCCTATGGCTGTGGTATGAATCAAACAAAGTATTAATGCTTACAGACTTGAAGTAAGTAACTTTCAAGGGCAAATTGCTGCCTTCTGATCCTGGGGTTGCAAAGCCTTCAAGTGGCTCTGAAACACCTGCTCTGCCCTGTCCTAGCTACAAACTCTTTATGTGAGGACATAGTATGTTTGCTGAAACCTGAGGTTGCTGTGAGTTCTGCTGCTGGGTCCCTCACTGGGAGCTGCTCCCAGTAAGGCTTGGTCTGTGTGTTCTTCCCCCTAGGGTTGAGCCAGGGTGGTTTTCTCTGATCTTTCACTGACTTACTAGCATTCTGCTCTCTGGACCAGCACCTGAGGAAGAAAAGGGGAGAAGTTGCTGTACTTAACTTTTCTAATTATTTCCTCAGCACCACTCCCTGGCTCCTTTGCACTGTTGAGCAGTGTCTTCCCTTTCCTCTGTCTGCAGATGTCTCAGTTCATCGTCCAGTGCCTGAATCCTTACCGGAAACCTGACTGCAAAGTGGGCAGAATCACCACGACTGAAGATTTCAAACACCTCGCTCGCAAGGTACTCCCCATGCTTCTAGTCTGTTGGTACTCTTGGCAAACTATTTACCTTCTAAGATGGCTCCCTTCATCAATGCCAGGTGCCGGGGCTGGGTACCCAGGAATATGAGGGAAGGTTTGGAGAGGGGAACACCCTGTTGAAAGAAGTATTTCTCTAAGAACTTTTCAGAGCTGAGCTTTCTCTGGTGAGCCCCACGCAGCCTGTCAATCTACCTATTATTTAATTCCCATTGAAAAGGGTCCACAAGTAGCAGGCTGGGTTACTCTGCCCCTCGAATCATTTCTACTCTAATGGTGGCTATGGTCTCTCTTCTTGTGCCTCGTACAGCTGACTCATGGTGTTATGAATAAGGAGCTAAAGTACTGTAAGAACCCTGAAGACCTGGAGTGCAATGAGAATGTGAAACACAAAACCAAGGAGTATATTAAGAAGTACATGCAGAAGTTTGGGGCTGTTTACAAACCCAAAGAGGACACTGAATTAGAGTGACTTATGGTGCCAGGGTAGGAGGACAGGCGATCAGGTAGGATAGATTTTGGGGAGAAGAAATCCTATGGCCTCTTCCCCACCCCATGGCCAGGGCTGTGGGGTAATGATTACACATCACCCTGGGCAATTCAAACCTGCAAGTGTCAACTGAAAGCTATAAAAAAGAGCTCCATCTACAAGTGATCCCTTGTGAGCTACTGGGGTATGGTTAGAGGCCATTAGAGACAATGGCCTAGGGAAGACCCTGGCCAGTCCTGACCCCACTCTCAAATCTGGGTCTCCTTGGCGGTGCTGTCAGCGCACAGACCCATGCGCATCCCTATCCAAGACCCTTTACCCTGACGATCTGTATTATATTTTAATGTATATGTGAATATATTGAAAATAATTTGTTTTTTTCCTGGTTTTTGTTTGGTTTTTGTTTTGCTTTTAGCCTCTATGTGCTAGGATCACAGGAAAACTTTGTAAGGATGGTTTAAGTTCTCCTGCAAGGTTTAATTTGTTATCATGTAAATATTCCAAAGCAGGCTGCCTTGTGGTTTTGGCCAGCCTTGTGCTATGTTGATAAGATTGATTTACTGCTTAAAATCACTTTACTTTATCCAATTTTTACTGAACTTTTTATGTAAAAAATAAAATCAATTACAGAACATGGTATGTGTGTTCCCTAAGTTAATCGGGCATGTTTGTACGTATTGATTGCCTGGAAAGAAAAAGGAGAAGTAGTGGCCACTGGTATGTGAAGATTAATCCTTGCTACTGGATTTTACTACAGGTCTTGCGGTCCCACTGTGGCTGAGACAGACATTTGCCGGTGGCTGACACTTGTGGATTTGAGATCTTGAGGCTGCGATCAGGGGTTGGGTCAATTTGTGCAGGCATTCCAGAGCAAAGGAAGTATAACCAAAGGCCTCACTGGCACTGGGCTTCTTTATTTTGGTTAGTTGGTCAGTCAAGAGAAAGACAAATGTTTCTTCCCTGCTTGATACCTCCTGACTTGAAAGAAGCACTGGACCTCTTCCTTTCATACTTCATTTCTCCCAGCCCACTGAAGTGTTCATTGGACATTTGGGTTCCCTGATCTCTCACTATACCACCTGACACTGGGCTTGGACACTAGAGGGAGGATAGCAGAAAGCTACAAAACAGATTGTGGTCAAAGTGAGTATCTCCTAGTTGTGCAGTGCTTGGTGGCAGCCCCTTCACTTGTCTGGGCAGTAAGGAGGGCCAAGGAACTTCAGGACAGACTGGGGTCCATCCCTGCAAACAGGCTGAGCCCATCTTTTCCTCACTAGGGTTATTCTACTTACTATAGCCATGCCCTTGGGGAAGAGACAAGGCCAGGCTTGATCTGCCAAATATTGGGCCAAGTAGGCAGAAATTAGAGCACTTGCTGCCTGCTAGGTGCTGTGCTGACCATTTAAGAGCTCAGGTTGTGCTTATTTGTTTTTTGTGGGACTGGGGTTTTAACTCACAGCTTCATGCTTGCATAGTAAGCACTACCACTTGAGCCACATCTCCAGTCCATTTTGATCTGGTTATTTTGGAGATAGGGACTCACAAACTAGTTGCCCAGGCTGGCTTTGAACCTCAATCCCCCTGATCTCGGTCTCCCAAGTAGCTAGGATTACAGGCATGAGCCACTGCCCAGCAGGTTGTGCTCATTTAATCTTTATAGCCTGAGGCACAGGAATTGGCACTGTAGGTGATGAAACCAAGGCTCAGGAAGGATTGATAATTCAAAAGGAATTATTAAAGAAGGACAAAAGTCCTTTATGGTTATAATGCATGCTGTTTAACAATACAATCTTCCCTTGGTACCTGGAGGATTTGATTCAGGAGCCCTGGGGTACCAAAGTCTGTGGATGCTCAAGTACTTTACATAAACTAACATAGTACTTTGTATAACCTATACACATTCTCCAGGTACTTAAATCATCTGTAGATTATTTATAGAACCTAATAAAATGCAAATGCTATGTAAATAGTGTTTGATCCCCAGTTGGCTTAATCCAAGGATGTGGATATGTAGCTGACTATATATCCAAAATGTTCTTCCCATGATTCTGCAGGCTTCAAAATTATTTAATACACATTATTGTACTAAGTGAATGGACTATAATTTACTCAACCTCTTAACATTTTCTAGTTGTGTCTGTTACAAAAAACATACCCAGTCATGTGCTTATGCACATTACAAAGAAGTGTTTCTCTTTTGGGTGGCTTTGATTTGCAAAGGCATGTCCATATGCACCACAGTACACAACCAAGTCAAACTCAAGGTTTTGACCTGAGGCTCCAGGTTTCAGATTTTGCAAGCAAATTTAGGCAGCGTTTCATTAAAAGGTGGTGACCAGTTGTCAAGTTGCAGATAATTGCAGACAAGACTTTCTTTTTTTTTTCTTTTTTTTGAGACAGGCTCTTTCCATGTAGCCCAGGCTGGGCTCAGATTTGTAATACTCCCGTCTCTTGTCTCCCAAGTGCTGGGATTACAGACATGCACCACCACTTCTGACCAGATAAAATATCTTTGAGAAGGAACTCTCAGGGTGGTTTGTTTTGTTTTTACATCTGTTGAGTTTATTTTCAAAATGCCTTTCCCACACCCCTTCAAGGTTCAAATCCCCTAGGTTGGGATAAGTTGTGCCAGTTAATATGGAATTTGTTCGTGCCACTCAATGCAGAATTTTATACTCGTTGCTGACCCAATCAATCCTCACTAGTCCTGTGCTGACTCCCTGCTAAAGTGGAGTGTGATGTCTCCAGCATGCTGGTTTGAGCCTTTCTTCCTTTCTCATGATCCTTCAGGTAGCGTTAGGATCATCTCAAGAAGGTGACTATCAACTTCAGCCCTTTTCTTTATATTAAAGGAAAGACAAGCCAGGCTGTGGAGGCTCAGGCAGGCTGTGGAGGCTCAGGCCAGTAATTGTAGCTACTTAGGAGGCAGAGATCAGGAAAATGATGGTTTGAAGCCAGTCCCAGGCAAATAGTTCCCAAGACCCTTTCTCAAATATACCCAACACAAAACAGGGATGGTGGAGTGGCTCAAGAGGTAGAGCACCTGCCTAGCAAGCATGAAACCCTGAGTGAGTTCAAATCTCAGTACCATCAAAAAACCCCAGAAAACAAACACAAGGTGTTAAGCCCTGGCAAGCTATTTCTGAGGAACTGTAGTAGATGTAGTCTGTGTTAAATTTAATACTCAAAAGCAGCCAATCTCAATTTCAGTTCATCGAGGGGACAGGGGGTACCTTGAGCTCCACTGGATCATGATTACATTCCAGGTCTCCTCAGTGAATTTGGATGGACCTGAAGCCCTCCGATCCTAGTGCATACCAGGATGGTAGCCATTGCTCCTTATGCAAGTCTGTCTTCCATACCTGTTCCGTCCTTCAGGGCAGGCATGTGTGTGGAGGGGGCAGGCAGGTGGTGTGCCTCAGCTGTCCTGAACTGCCCACATGAGTACAAGCCAAAGCATGCTTTGTGAGAGCGTTTGGAACATTCCCCCTCATAAATTGAGTTCAGGACTCATAAGGAGAGTCTCTTCCTATTTCTCATCTAGCAATAACTCAAGATCCTCAACAGTCTGCTCCCCAGGACCAGTCTGCCTCTTGCCTCCTATCTAGTGGTGTGGGCCTTCAGCCCCCTTTGATGCTGATCACAGTACAAGTCAAGAAAATCATCTCAAACCCAAGATCCTGAAATCACCAATATTGGGAGTCTTAGGGATGAAGAACCTAAGGAAGCTGAAGTTCAGCAAGGTAAAATAGTTTCCCATTGTGGTCCAACCAGTAAAGGGTAAATGCAAGATGTGAACTCCAGTTTGGGCATCCAAAGCCTAGGCATGTTCTGTAGAAATGCCCTGCCTGCCATCCTAGCTGCTGTTTGGAGAGGGTCTTCCCACATCCTATGGACTACCCCAGGCAATTTTCAGGGTCTCTGTCTCACAGCTAGTTACTCAACTGTTTTACAGGCCCAAGGAGTCAAAGAAAGGAAGCACAAAGGTTCAAAGTTGCCTTTAATGTGTGATACAAAAGTAAAAAAAACTCACTGAGGCTAAACAAAGGAAGGTGGAGTGGGGTTCTGAGGGCAGAACTCCTCAGTGCTTCAGCCTCCCGCTCCCCAATGCCATATTCTGGTCTATTTTGGAGGGGAGGCAAGGGTAAGTAGTCGCTGGATTTTGTGTGTTCTTCCAGAACAGAAAAGGCTGAAGCCAACAATGCTAGGAAGCCCATGAAGGGGGAAGATGTGAGTTGAGGTGGTAGGGAGCACGAGAGCAAGCTGTGGTGGAATCACACCACAGAGCAACCCTCAGCTGAGGCGCCTAGGACTTGGACCACATCTTCACGACCTATGGCAGCCAGGGCATCCTCTAGCACTCTGAGGGTAGCTCTGCTGCCTTCTTGGGCAGCCCAGTCCTTCAGCAGAGTATGGGCTGGCACCTGGCTACAGGCCATGGTCTCCAGAGCCTCAGCCTTGTAACCCAGATGGCTTGCCAGGCCCCGCCAGCCCTTGTCAGGTTCCCCCAACACCTCTAGGAGCCGCTCTGCTTCCTCCTGCTGCTGCCGAGGGAGATGAAGGTAAAGTCTGCAGCCAAGGTCAGGATGTGTTCCTGGGGTAGAGACACGAGGGTCATGTGGGTGGGTGGTGGATGGCACTGGTAGGCCCAGAGGACTTTAAGGGAAGGGACTCACCTTGGCTGGAGGCACCAGGCTCCAGACCAGTAGGACAGTCCAGGGAGACACTGCCATCACCATGCCTCTGATCCCTGTCGAAGCCCCCCAGCTCTGCAGTCCGAACTTTGGCCAACTGCTGCCTTTGCTTGTGTGAGCGCCAACTGTAGGGACAGAAGGTACTTGGCCAACCCACTCCCACCTTCACAAGAACCAAGGAGCTGGGGGTGCCGAGACCACCTACCATTTGAAGGCCACATAGGCAAGCAGACCAAGGACCACAGTGGCCAGGAGGGCACAGTAGACTGGAATGATGCTGCCTGAAGTCTCCGGAGGCTCAGGGGGGAACAGGGAGGAGGTATTGGGGGCCCAGGCTCCCTCAGCTCCTACCCACACTCCTTCCCTATCCCTGTCTTGCTCCCTCAGGGTCTTATCTGTGGAGAAAAGGATAGGGTCAGGAGCAAAGAACAAAAACTATAGAGTCCCTAGATAGCTTTACCTGGACCTTATTGCTAAAAAATAAAGGTCTGAAACCAATAGTCCTCACTATATAGAATCATCAAGTTCACTGGCCTTTTCTTCTTCCTTCATCTGCAGCCGCCCCTTTCTTTGTTTGTTATTCCCAGATGTGTCATGCTCCCACAATCTTCCAGACTTCTACTCTCCCTCTGACAAACACTGGAATCTCCTACTCTGGAAGCCTTCTTTGCTCTCTTTGCTGGCTCCAGTTGCACTACTTCTGTCGACCATGGCACTGAACTGTGTCCTCTCCCCCATCCAGCCAACTGCTTCATGTTGGTCCTCTTGGGGAGCTCCACACAGCTCTTATATATTACTGCAAAATAAAGCTGAACTGGGAGAGTTACTGCTCTCTCTTCTGCCTACCTAGAGTTCAGTTGTTCCCCTAACTCAACCCAGTATACACATAGCTTGGGACTGGGATTTTGTGTGACCTACCCAACTGAGGTGCCTCCCAGCCTGCCCACTAAGATCTGGGTGAAGGATGCTTACCTGCATAGACCACGCCTTTGCTATGGCTGGAGTTGTGGACCATTGTTCTGTTTGTGGACAGTGCTCTCTGGGGCTGTTTCCTGGAGAAGGAGTTGGAGTGTTGTGGGCTTCTTCTGTGAGTCCAGAAGGGGCTGTGTGCAGGGATAAGGGGAGATCCTCAGGTCTGCTGTCAGAAATCCTTTGGATTAGCCTGTCTCCTGCTCCTGGCTCACTCCATCCTGATTCAGCCCAGTTTCCTCCTGCATCAGATGGGGTGGAGATGACGGAGGCTGGCCTCAGCTGGCCAAAGCTAGTGGGTCAGGGTGCAGCTCAGGATGGGAAAGGACAGGCTGGAAACCACCTTGTCTCCAAGACCGTGGCAAATACCTGGTCTGAGTCAAGAATAAGAGAGGACAAGAGATATGAATACCCTGTGACCCCATGACAGTAAGGCTGAATCAATCTACTGGCCCAGTGGGAAGCTCATCCCAAGACATCTCAGCATGGACCCAGGAACCCATCATGCTAAGGTTCCAAGGCAAAGGAACCTTACTTTCTGTAGTGACTACTCCCACTCATTCCTCAGGCATCAGTGGCCAGACCTTTCCTGATCAGAGGCTAGGTGAAAGCAGACATTGGTGGACCCAGCAAGGGCATAAGGTATTTGGGCCCAGGGCATAAGGTATTTGGGCATCAAAAAGGGCCTGAAACCTGAAGGACAGAACCACTCAGTCCCAGGACTCATCTGGACCCTCATGGCTGAATCTGCTGGGACCTACTTCCTGAGAGGTCCCAGGTTGGGGCTGAGGGCCAATCTTGCCTGGAGCTAAGGAATGAAAAGACCCATGAGAAAGCTTGCAAATCACCATATATGCACCACATAACTGGAGGGTCTACCAAACCCTGTGCAGGTGGTGCAGTTGTTAGCAATCCAGTGCAGTGGCCAAGCAGGTCTGAGACTTGAGCTGTGGTGGCCCTTGCCACGTGTTGGGTGTGTAGGGTTTTATGTCACTTACATTCTGGGAGTGGGGGAGAGCCTTCCGAGTTCCTGGTTGGTGGGTGGGCCTGAAAACGGCACAGGCTTGGCATTCACTATGAGCTGCTGGATTGGAACCTCTCTCAGCCTCCCCACCCTTCTGTAAGCCCACAAAATTCGCATAAGGCAACAACCGCACGCCCACACCACCCTGACTTCTCACACACACCGACGCTGGTACACATGGCTCACGGGGCCCCACAGTGGAGCACAGGGACAGCTCTAGCTCCCTGGGCCCAGAAAGTCCTCGGCTCTGACCCTCCCCCCCACCCTCCACTCCTGACCTGCGGTGGCCGCCTCTGAAAGAGGGCCAGAATCCACTCAGTTGGGCAGGACAGGGGCCTCTGAGGCCACGGGGACTGCCCTGGATTCGCAGAGAAGGCGACGGGAAATCCCTTGGAGAGGCTTGGTTCTGGTCCACCCGCTCTTAGAAGAGCAGCACAAGCACCGGCCCGGTGGAGGGGGTCCGGGAAAGGGGGGGGCAGGACAATGAGGAGGCGGAGCTGAGCTCCAGGGCGCGGTCTCGCCCCCGCCCTGCGCAGGAGCGTGCACCAGCGCCATCGGCATTGGCCTGGCTGGCAGCAGTGGGCGGATGGCATGCGAAGGAGATTCCGAAGAACTACGAGCTGGGAGATGGCGGACAGAAGGGACCCCGAAGGGCTGGGGAAACTGAGGCCCCACGTTAGACTCGGAGGCCAGACCTGGGGACAACGATCCTAGGATCTTGGCCATAGCAGGCTGAGACGCGGGGCGCACCAATACACAGAGGAGCATCTACAAAACTAGGCCAGGTTTATTGCTGAGAATGGGCGGGCGAGGGCCACCTTTGGGGATTAAGGCCATGGGCGGTCCGTGCGCTCCGCCGGGACGTGGGGCTTGGGAGCCTGGGACCCCCGCCCCAGTCTGTGCAAACTGTACTGCAGCGGCCACAGAGGCCGGTGCTGGATCTCACTGCCCCTCAGCCGGCAAGGGGTGGGACTTCCTGGTGACGCCATCCGCCAATCCCTGAGCTGGGGGCTGGGCCCCGCCCACCCCCTGGTGCAGACGACTCCTGGGCGGGGCCTCCGTTCCGGGGGGCAGGGCCTGATGGGCGGGGCAGCCCAGGTCAGCGAGCCTCGCCAGGGTTGTATTCGGTCTCTCCAGACGACACCTGGGAGATGCGTCTGGAGGACCGCCACAGCTTCCGCGCGAACTGGCTGCTGCGCACCTGGAGGGAGCAGCAGTGGGGTAGGGTAGGGTAGGGTAAGTCGGGGCCACCGCTCTCCGCCGGGTTGGAGGCCTACCTGTCCCCATGCTTACCTCAGAGGGCTGCCCTGCGCCCACTACGATCAGCTTGCCGTCCTCCAGGCCTACCAGCACATGGCTACGTTCCTTGGTCACGGCGACACTGCAGACCGGCACTTTCATGGGCAGGGGAGGCACGGCCGGGCACAGTCTGGAGCAAGGGAAGGGACACTTGCAACTGCGGGGGGCTTTGCATCTACAGATGTGTGTCTCTTCATTATTCCACATACCCTCTCTGTCCTCATTTTAAGGATGGCTAAATTGAGACCCAGGCTCATAAAGGCAATGTATATAATTGTTGCTGAGGGAGGCCCAGGTCAAGATCTCCCCATGGGGAATTGAGGTGATAGGTAACACACCTAGAAGAGAATGTGCCCAGCAACATATACAGTGTAAGACTTGACAAGGGGGCACTGCCGATAACCATGAACTCATATAGTGGGGCTCACCTGTTCAGGTGGAGGATGTGCAGCGCACATTGAGCAGTGCCCAGTAAAACAAAGTCCTCTGTCACTGCCAGGGCTGTAGGTTGCTCTGCCAGGGGTAGTGAAGCCCGCAACCTCCCATTCACCGAGTACAGGTGCAAGGAGTAGGTGACCTAGAAGAAGCAGGGAATGTCAAAACCTCCCCAACTGTCCCAACTGTGCTACTGTCTTTCCTGAGATGTCTTTCCTCATACCTGGGCCCCAGGGCGCTCCCATGCTGAGCTCTGTACCACAATCTGGCCTTCAGACCCTAATGCCAGGTGGAACACAGGTCCAGGTAACATGGCACCTGGAGGCCGTAGTGCTGCCACAAACTGGCCTCGGCGTACAGTGTGTATGATCACAGTTCCATCCTGCAGAAAGGCAGCTTAGGATACTGGACAGGGGTTTGAGGGTTCCAGGGGCAGTGCATAGCCAACAGCCTCCCTGGGGCACACGCTCACACGCACCTCGGATCCAGACACAGCCATATCGAGTTCTGTGTTGATGGCCACACAGCTCACTGCAGCCTCGTGCCCAAATAGGACCTGTACAGGCTTCGATGCTAGCCCTACCGACAAACCACCCTGTGGGGAGGCGGGGCTTGCTTAGGACTGGCCCCTGGATGAGAAGGCCCAGGTTCAGGAAAGTGAAGGCCTTCCAAGCCCAGCGCATTGGAAGGTCATGAAGCAAGACTTGCTCCTAGTAATGGGGGGGAAGGAGATGGCAGGAGACAGGACTGGAGGCTCCCTGGGGGGTAGATGGGCTGGCAAGTGAGGGCTTTAGGAACCCCACACAGCTGCCTTTCAGGCATACCTGCTGCAGAAGTCGCCACACCAAGCACGTGGTGTCCCGGGAGCCTGAAATGAGGTAGATGCCAAAGGTGTCCAGCGCAAGGCAGGTCACTACGTCTGTACCAGGAAGGGAGGACACAGGCAGAACAGAATTGTCACACCCTCCTAGGCCAGCCTCAGAACCATACCCCACACCTGCCTGTCTCCTCCCTGGTGCCAAGGCTGCTCATACCAAGGTGGCGGTTTAACTGGTTCAACAGCTTGCCTCGGGGTAGCGCAGTCACTCGCAGGCTGCCATCCCAGTAGCCACCGCTGAAGAGCAGTTTCCCATCAGGGGCCACTGCCAGTACTTGCCCACTCACGCCACTGCCAGGCACCCATGGGCCACTCAGCAGTCTCTGCATCCTGACCCAGTGAGGAAGGCAGTAAGTGAGGCTGGGCCACAGAGGAGAGACCCAGGCCCTCAGGGATCTTGGCCAGCCCTCTCCCTTGCAGCCGGCCCACATCCTGCTTGGTGGGGGGAAGTGACTCCAGGTATAAGGCACTTATGCCTCCCCTCCTTCCCGCCCCCGCCAGCCTCCTGTCCTACTTGGGGCTGCCTATTGTGGTGTCTTTGCTGAAGCTGAAGTAGTTGTTTATGTTTCGGTCGTAGGGCAACCAGCTGTGGGTGCCCAGCAGCCCACTGGCACTCACGGTCACCTGTGGGCAGGAGGGGACAGAAGTTGGCTTGGAGCAGAGCTGGGGGTGGTGGGGAAGCTAAGGTGGGGCCCTGCCCATGTACATACCAAAAGGTCTGAGGAACCCTGGATGATGAAGGAGTGGGGTTGCCGGTGGGGGACCAGGGCCAGCACCAGGGGCACACCATCACTGATAACCTGTGGGGAAAAGTGTGTGGCTGGCAATGCTGAATGACAGCTCGAGCCCCAACTACATAATCTGCTCCCTGGGTACCATCCCCTCCTGTGACCCCAGGCCCCCAGGGGTCATAGAGTAGGTGCCATAGACACAGAGGTCCCTCCTAGAAAAAGGCACAAGATCAGTGAGCAAGCAAGAGGACATCTCAGAAAGTGAGTAAGAAGCTGGAGTGGTCACAGAAGATCCTTCCAAAGTATCAACCTTGGTTCTCCCAGCCCAATGACAGGAGGAGGGATGCCTAAAAGAAAGCTTGGAGGCGACATTTGAAGGTACAGGCAGGAAGGGGTCCAAGGCCAGATTCCCTCCATCCTGACCAGCCTGAGGTTTTCAGAGATTGTTCGGACCTTATCTGGCCCTCACAGAAAAGGCACTGCTCCCATCCCCGTACTCCTCCCATTTTTTGTTCAATTTCCAAGGTGCCTTGAAATCAGTGACCTTGATTTAGGATTTGCCCTCTACCCCAAGAGGCTGGGGAGGATAGAGGAGTCAAACCCATTTCACAGACTAGAAAGTCAAGGCCTTGCCCTCCTCTCACCTCTGCAAAGAAGGCCTTGAGCTGGTCCAGGTGCTGGAAGATGCTCGGTGAAGTAGCGTCCGTACGTGCAAGGCGATGGGCTGCTTCCTCAGCTGAGAGCCGGGATGGATGTGGCTCCTGTGGGCAGGTGGCTGGTAAACACCATGGTGTGGGTATCCTTGACCGCTGTCCTCTAACCTGTTCTTACCTTCAGCAGCTGACAGGGAGTCTGCCCAAAGTTGCTGATAATGCCCTCCAGAGCCTTCCGTTCCCGTTCATCAGCTACATGGTCCAGGTCCACAGCCCCTGGGAGGGAAGCGGGCCAGTCAGGATTCCCTGTGCCCCCTGTACCATCCTCTGTCTACACCCTGGCCCCGACACGTGCAGCATACTGCTCACCCTCATAGGTGCAGTAATAGAAGACATTGAGGGCCTCCTCGGCTGCTGGCCCCCGCTGCTTGTAACCAAAAATGAGATCAATCCACTCATGCAGGTGAGCAGAAACATACTCTGACTCCTGACAGTAGGGAGGGGACAAGGTCAGTTCAGGGACAGCTGACTCCCACCATGGCCCGCAGCCCTGGCTGCCCGCCTGTCTGTGTGTGGTCACCTCCTCACCAGAGCCCGGCGGTGCTGCTGGATGAAGTCCTCAGGAGAGCTTGCCCACGGGGGCAGCACCACATCGCCCACCTTCTCGTTGGTCAGCTGGAGGCAGCCCAGGTCAAATCCTGGCAGAGGACCAGGTCAGCTGTGTCCCTGTGCAGCCTCACCACCCCTGGACACCCATCTGTATGCTTGCCTCCAGGCCCCCACTCCCACAGCCAGCGCTTCGTGTGCTACCATTCTGGTTCTCCAGGAAGTCAGGGAAGTAGAAGAACTCTGGAATGAGCTCCTTCACATCGGCGGGGCTCTCCAGGCGCGCCTGCCAGGCTGCTGCCACTGAGTGGAACTGCCGGTCAGAGCAGTCGAAGCTGGTGGAGGGGCACAGACCAAGGTAAGGTGATGGGGAGGGAGAAGATGTGACTGGAGGGACAAAGGGAGCCAGATGCAGGCTCAGGAGGGCCTGCCTCCTTCCTTTGTGTCTCTCCACGTGTCCCCCACCCCTGAGCGCACCGGCCACTCTGCAGCTGGACATGCAGGGAGGTAAAAGGCTCCACTCGAATGAGGTAATGCATCACGCCCGCTGCATTGGAATAGTGGGTGCCATAGTGGAACTTGTCGATAGTGCCTGCCGGGTCCTCAAAGCTCTCATACCTGAGGTCACAGGGAGGGCAAGTCAACAGAAGCCCTCCCCTTGCTCACATGCAGCCCACCAAATCCTACCCTGCCCAAATGCTTACTTCTCCCTCACAAGCTGGGCATGCTTGGGGTTCACCACACCGATGGGTTTGGAAAGGTCCCGGAAAACAGCCGGGTTGCTGAGGTCCAGGGTTGGTGACACATAATCCTGCAAGACCCAGGGGAACTGGCCACCCACCCAGGGAAAGAGCTGCATGAGGGCCCTGATGGCTGGCTGGCCCACTATGCCCCGCTGTTAACCCTCAGTAAGATGGGCAAAGACCCCGTTCGCAGGCTGGGGGAGGCACCACTCGGAGGGACTACCGGGGAGTAGGACAGACTAGCCAAGACAGACATTCCTATCGGGGAGAACAAGGGCCAGAAGGGGAGGGGCGATGGCTAGAGGGCGTGACAGGGTGGCAGGGAACAGAGGCCAGGTCTTAGTCAGAAGCACACTACCAAGGACCAAGCTCAGGCTTTGCCCACTGTCATGTTCCTACACTTGGGAGAACCGAGGACTGGGAGAGGAGTCCTCACCACAGGGTACTGAGACAGGTCATTGTAGGTCCGCCCCGCAATGGTATTGAGCTGCATCAAGTACTCGAAGTTAGATATCTCCCGCTGTACCCATTTCTGTGGAGCAGGGATAGGCAAGAGGTGAGCCGGTGGGCTGTCCAGCACTTTCCTACTCTTAGGACTCATGTCCTCCCACCACCTCACACTTAGGACTCTCACCTGGGTAAGGCCTGAAGCACGCAGCATCTCCTGAGGGGAGCGGCTGCTTAGGTAGCCTTGGGTGGGTGGCCGCAGGCGCAGAAGCCACGAGTACACTTGGTTCCGTACCTGAGTATGGGGAGGGATGGGGTAGGGCTGGGGCCTGGAAGCCTGGCAAGGAGAAGAGGCTGAGGGCCCAGCCACCTTGCATGGGAAGTTGAGGAAGTAGTTAGACTGATCAATGAAGAAGAGCTCAAGGGCTGAACGGCGTAGGTTGAAACGCCGCAGGTGGACCTCACGCAGCTGGGCCAGAGGGCGCCGGAAGTCATGCCCAATGCCTGCAAGACCGACAGTGGACGTGGGAGTTACTGGCCCCAGTCCCATCCCAGCCTCAGTCATTCCCTGTAATCCCTCCAACCTGCTCCATCAGGACACACCCTCCTCAGTTTCCACACGCTCAGTACTGCCATCATAGAAGTACACATGCTGCGTGGTGACCTCCAGCAGTCCTGGGACCACAGCCACCACTGTGACCAGCTGGCACTCAGCTGACAGCACCAGCTTCTCATGCTGCTCATCCAGTTCTGCTGCTTCCATCCTGTGGGCCAACACACGTATCAGCTAGGGACTGGCACCCCCTTCCTGACAAGCTCAAGGGCCATAGGTTCTGAGGTACAGGAGCTGCCCAGGGTCCATTACCCACTGCTCTCCCTATCCCTATGCTTCTGCGTATCTTGCCAGGACACCAACCCCTATCCTCTGCTTCTCTTCCCACAGCCCCTGCCCGCTTGCTGGGCCCCCCTCCTGCTCTTGTTTGTCTCAGCCCTGCTCTGGGATGCCTCTGCCTCGCTATTAAATACTAGCTATCAGCCCTTCCCAATGACTCTTCCAAGCCCCCACTTGGTTTGGGACAGTCCTTTCTGGGAGCAGAAGAGGGTACAGGCTCCAGAAGTCAATCCCATAGCAGGCATGTACATAGTGGAGTAGATGCCTTGCCTACCACCCCAGTCAGCTCTCCAGGGCCCTAGAGCCCCCCTGCCACCCACTCACGGAGCCTCCAGCACAGCCAGCTCATCCTCGCCTAGCTGGTCGTCCTGTAGCTCCTCATGCGGGGTGCTGACTTTGGCCTCTTTGGTCACTGCCAAAGGCAGCGAGGCCTCCTCGGTGGGTGTCAGGGGGACCTCACCTGCAAGAGGCCAAGGAGATTCAGCCAGAGTGAGACAAGATGGGAACTACCAGTTTCGTGGACACAGCCTCTCACCCAGATTGTCACGTAGGGCACTGGCTTCCAAGTGAGGGTCGAAGTGATGGTTGGGTACCAGCTTCAGTCGCATGCGCGAGTATGTCTCAGCGCTGGACAGCTTCCAGTGGGGAGTTGGAGGGTCCCTGTAGATATGCCCCCACAGGTGGTCACGGTTGGGCAGAAGGCTGCAGATCGCCCCCCCATTCCTCCCAGGCTCTCACACCAAAGGCAACGTGGCACTCCATTTTGCTTCCTCCCCACCAAGTCCTACCCTTCCACCCTGAGTCCAGCCCACCTTAGGGCCCAAGCCCCACAGGGGCTAGAGAGCTGGTGCCACAGTGCCTCCCAATGCAGCAGGGCCGTCGAGTGCTGGGCTGCCTGCTGCTTGAGTGCTGCTGCATAGCGCAGCCCCTCCAGGCGTGCCCGCCGCTGCACAGGTTCCAGCACCAGCTCCTGCAGTGGGGGCAATGGGTCAGTCCCTCTGGCTGTTGCCTTTCCTGCCCGTTTGTCCACTCTGCCCTGCCAGCCGTCCCCAAGGCACAATGTAGAACAGCTCCCTGTCCCCCACCATGGGCTGTGCACCTGGAAGGCCCGTCGACTCTGGGTGCGTTCCTGCTGGTGCCGCTGCCCGCTGCTCATGAGCGTGTCGTAGCAGGCATTCCAGAAGCCTGACATGAGGTCATGGCTCTTAGCATATGTGTCCATTTCAAACTGTGACATAGTGGGCTGCACCTGGAAGACCAGCAGAGAGAAGAGACCAGTGCTCAGTGTGTCCCAGCCCCCACTCCTCTTCTTGGGTAACCGCCTCCAGCTACCTGTTTGTCGATGAAGTGGCGCCATTCCGGTGTGGCACAAAAAGCCTGGAAGTCCTCAAAGAACGTAGGGCTGCCGTTGGTGGGCGGCAGGGAGGGCAGCCCCCACTGCAGCCCCAGTGGCCCATAGGCTCGGTCCAGCAGCGTGCGCACCAGCGGTACCAGCCACGAGCAGCGCTCTGAGGCTGCTGCAGGCATGGATGTGGGCTGTGCGTGCTCAGTGGCCGTCTCAGAGGAAGAGGCATTCAGTGCCCGGCTGAGTGCGGCCTCCAGCTTGGAGAGTACATAGCAGGCCTCTTCACGGCGAACTGGCACTGCGGTCTGCAGTAGCATGTGCAGCTTCACGTAGGCCTGGGCATGCAGCTGTGGGAGCAAAGGAAGTGAGGGTGGCACTCAGCTGCTCCTACCTGCCATACCTGTCCCCACCTTGCCCACTCCCGTGCTCACCTGTGGGTCCTCCAGCAGGATGTAGCCGAGCACAAGACGAAGACCTATCTGCGCCATTTCACGGAGATCAGCTGTGCTGTTGGCCAGATGCGGCCATGCGCCCAGGCGATCCAGCAGGCTGCACACACCTTCAAATATCTGTCACACAACACAATACTGAGAGATGTCACCATACAAGGCCAGGGTCTCCAGGGAGGGAGCAAGGTAAAGTTTGGGCTGGGAGGCCAGGAGGGTTTATGCAAGGTCCCTGCCCTGCTGCCTAACATAGTCTGCAAGGTACACCTGGCACACCCCTGCCCCTGGTATCCACCCCAACCCTTGGCCAGACAAGTCATGCTCACAGACACCCAGGCTGATGTGCTCAGGCCTGTGGTTATACTCATCCACCCTCCAGACAAGATGCCCACGGACTCATATGAACACAAGTGCTCACTGGCTTGTGCCCCTCTGAGCCTCGCACCTTCTCACTCCATAGCTCCTGGTTCCCATGACCCTCAGCGCACAGGAAGTCCTGCAGCAGACGGAGCAGCCAAAGCGCCTGCTGGGTGAGGCTGGCCAGGACCCCAGTGGGGGCCTCCTTAATGTCGGTCAGGGCTGACTCCAGCATCATCTCCAAGAGGCTGGGGAAGTGAGGAACTGGGTGTCTGCCTGATGGCCTTTTGCCCCCAGGCTCTTCGAGACCCTTCACCCTGCCAAGCTGCCCTCTCACCTGCGTTTGATGCAGTCTGGCGGGCGCACCAGTGTGGCTGAGGCCCCCAGCTGCGTGAGTACTGAGAAGACCTGGCCTCGTTCCCGCCAGGCAGACTCGTCACTGCCCTCTACGCCCCGCCACGTCACTGAGAACAGCACATTGGTGAGCAGGTTGCACAGTTCCTCCTCAGGGGTTTGCTGTGGGCACAGACGGGTGGTGTGGGCTGGGAAGGGAGGGCATTGGATCAAACCCCCAATCCCTATTCAGCATCCCTGTCTACCAGCTAGTAGGCATGGCAGGAAGGAGAGCATTCAACTACAAGTCACTGTCTGAACTCGGGAGAAACCTGTGATCTTACTGGACTCTTGAAAGGAGATGAGCCATTCAAACATATTAACCCACAGTCCTCAAGACTGTTAGCCCAGTGTGGTGACTCATGCCTGTAATCCCAGCTACTCAGGAGGTGAACACCAGAAGGAATGGAGTTCCATGACAGCCCAGGAAAAAAGTTGGTGAGACTCCAATCTCAACCAACTGGGTGTAGTGGCGTGCTCCTGTTATCCCGGCTATGCAAGAGGCATAGATAAGGAGGATCACAGTCCAAGGCCAGCTCTGGGCAAAAAAATGCAGAGTCCCTATCTGAAAAATAACTAAAGCAAAATAAGGGCTGGGTGCATAGTTCAAGTGACAGAGCACCTGCCTACCAAACGTGAGGTCAAGTTCAAACCCCAGTTCAAACAAACAAAAAAATAAAAGACTATCTAAGAATTCTATAGCAGAATGCCCTGGATGAGCAGAGGCTCATCCCCAAACCAAAAGCGCAAGTAAGACCCTCGGAGCTATGCTGCCCTATAAAGCCCCTGCTCTCTGGAGGTCCCACCAAAAGCTGGCTGGTGTCCCTTGTTCTGGCTCAACACAACTCAACCTGTTTTAGGACACCCTGGGCACACAAGTGCAGATGAGAATTACAAGGGGAAGTACCAGGCCTAACTGGTGGCTGCAGCCCCAGTGTCAGAAAGTCATAAGCTTTGGAGAGGCCACACTGCCAGCTCTGTGTCCCAGAAGCGTCAGCCCCAGGGAACCATGCAGGGCACCTCACCTGAGGGTTGCTGGTGTTAGAAGTGTCATCCCCACTGACGCCTGGGAGGCTACCGTCCTCCAGCACGTTGGAGAGACTGGAGCTGTGGCGACCATGGGGAGCAGGGAAGGGCCGCGGCCCATCCAGTGGGGAAGGTGTGCCAGGCTGGCTGGCTGGGGTAACGGTCCCGCTGTTGCTACCACCACCTGCAGTATTGCCTGAACCCACACTGGCCCGCTCCAGGCCCAGGTCAAAGGGCGTGCAGAATGGGGATAGGGCATGATAAAAGGAATCTGGGTCAGAACAGGGGGCCTCTGAGGGCAGGAAGACGTCTGAAGGCTCAGGAGGCGACTCAGTAGGTGGTGGGGACAGGGCTGGATCCAGGGAGGTGGGTGGCTCTGGAGGAAAGGGTGGGGGACCACTCGCTGTGGGGGCTTCCAGGACATACAGCCGGGTCAGCACATCCTGCCAGCCGGCCTGTCGGGCCAGTAGTCGCACTGTGTCTGGCTGTCCATAGATGAGGTGGAAGAGCTGCCGGACCAAGGCATGGCAAGTGAGAGGTCAATCACTGCCTGCTCCAGACCCTTGTCTTGGGGCATTTGCAATGGGGCCTCCAGACACCCTCATCACAAGTCAGGCAAAATGAACTCCAGAGGGTAGACGCCATCTCTCTGTCCCAATACTTTTAACTCACTAACCTGGCGACAAATGTCTAGACGGATGCTGAGGTCAGCCTGGAGGGACAGCTGCACCACAGCCAATAGGTCTGAGAGGTTCAGGCAATCTGGGGAGAAAGCCAGAGGGGGCCTGAGGGACTGACTCCAGTAGGAGAGGCCGGCTCAGTCCTGGCCCTGTTTTCCTGAAACATTGCCCACCCACACCTGGCCTGACTCTTGACCCCCAACTAGGTCCTACCTGCCCCAAGGAACAGCTTATAGAGGCCCTGGCAGAGCTGGGGGGAGATGGCCCCCTCAGGCAGGCAGGCGACCAGACCCTGAAGACCGCTGTCCCTCAGCCGGAGCCGCTGACGGCTCCGCTCCGGTAACCGCTCGTTCTGCTGCAGCTTGCGCAGGATCTGTGTGCAGCCAATTGGGGGGCTGTCGTCATGGGGAAGTCAGCACACAGGCATGTGGCTCATTAGAGGCCTGTGAAGGTGGTGCAAGGCCTCCCTGGACTCCAGACAGGGGCCCTAGTGAATGTCAGGGATAGGGCCAGGGATAGGCTGGGTGTACCTTGCAGACTCGGTCAGGCAGCAGGGGCAGGGACCTTGGCCGCAACAGCAGAGCGTGCAGCACCTCGAGGTTTCCTGGCTCCAACAGGAAGACAGCCAAGGACTCCTGAGCCGGGGAGCCCTGAAGCAGGGCCAGCAGCAGGTCCAGTGCGCCCACCGCCTTGGAGAGACAAAGTCTCATTCTGGGCTAGGCTTCCCACCCTGTCCACATACCTCTCCCACCCATGCTTCTCCCTCCACAACCTCTAGCATACCTGGCCATCATCACTAGTGGCTGCCAAAAAACTCAGCACAACCTGCAAGTCATCAGCAGAGAAGCTTCGTACCAGGAACTCCCGAGCCAAGCCCAGGAGGGAAGTCTGCACTGTGTGGAGGTCGTCGGCCGCAAGGGGGCGCTCCCGCTGTGGGCTGGCCAGTACAGCAGGCATAGCCAGCAGGTCCAGCCAGGAGGAGAGAAATCAGGAAGAGTGGGCAGGTGAGCTGGGGCCTGTCCCCAAGGCTAGGGGATGCTCTATCAGCCTTCTGCTGCCCCTGCTCTCACTAGCCTCACCTGTAGTGGGTGCGCAGAGCATCAAGGATGAACTGGACCCCATACTTCTTCCGTAGCCGCTGTCTGTGTTCACGAACTATGCTGGACATGTACTGGATGTGGCCTGAGTGGACATTGGCAGAGGCTCCTTTAAGTCCTCCAGGGAAGGGCCATGCCCCTGCTAGATCTCCCACGGTAGGGTCATATCCCTTAAGACACTCCAGGGCAGGACCCCTGTCAGGTATGTCCCCTCAGATCACCAAGAGGAGGGCTCTAACTCCTCACCCCCACCAGCTCTGCAGCCAGCCCCTACCAAGGCGCACAGCGAAATCACTGAGGGTCCAGAGGTGAAAGTTGAAGAGCAAATGCTGGTAGAGCAGGTATAGGAGGGGCCCACTGTTCTCAGCTGCCACCTGCTCCATTAGCAGTTGGGCAGACATGAGCACATTCATGTCCATAGCCCAGCTGGGGACCTAGGGTGGGAGAAGGACCTGGGCTAAAACAGTGGGCCCTGCCCACCTGCTATTCTAGTCACTCAGCTCCTACCCTTCCCAGCATAGGCATGACAGACACAAACATGACCATCCTGCTCAAAACCCTACATCTCTGAAGCCCAAGTCCCCAGCCTGGGCCGGTCCCAGCCTGGGGTGCCCTTTCCCCACCTTCCCTCAGCCAAACACTGCTCAGCTTCTCAGCCCTCACCCAGATGCCACTCTCCAGGAGGTTTCACCTCTTGGCTCCCCACCTTGTGCAAGAGAGCCCCAATGATGGCAGGCCCCTGGCACTGCACCAGGCTTTCCTGGTTCACAGTGTGGCCCTGTAGGAAGTTCCGCACCATCAGCAGAAAGGCAGCCACTGCATTCCGTTCCATCCGCTCCTCTGTTGGCCACCAAGAAGGGGACAGATGTGGGTGAAGGGCCTGCTGGTGGCCACCACCACCTCAAACTCCAGTCCCTCGTCACACAAAGCTTCTCTCCCTCAACTCAGGTCCCAGAGATGCTTACCTGAAGACTTGCCCAGTGGGAGAAGCAGGCCCTGGGTGTTGTGGCCTGAAGTCAGTTCAGGCCCCACAAGGTCATGTGTTTCGGCTGGACCTGCCTCGGCCTCTTGGGGCTGCGTGGCCACTTGCTCCAACAGGGGCATCAGGGCACCCATGCCCCCCACGCAGTTCAGCACATCCTGGAGGAGGGCATGGTGGTAAAGAACGGCTCGGGGACAACATGCTGTTCCACTTCACCCCAGCAGACTGTCCAGTCTAGGAGCCTGGGTCCTGGGTATTTAGTTCTCTTGATCAGGTCTCCCCAAACCCTTCTAGCCCACCCCATTACACCTGTGCCCGACACCCATGCTGCAGCATACTGTCCATATGTGCACACACACCTTCACGTCCCATGTCTCTACCCTGTGGCCCGTCAGACGGCCATCCAGCCCCTGCCCAGGGGACAGGTCCAGGCAGATGTTGTTCTTACAGGCCTAGGGGGAAGGAGATGAGCAAGCAGCATGGGTTAGCTGTAGGAAGGGATGGCAGACAGAGTGGGGAGCCAGGAGGAGGTAGTACAGTGGAGCCACCCACTCCCCTCCCCCGAATACCTGAGGTGAGTAATGAAGGAGGAGTTTGGCCCCAAGCTCATATAGTTCTCCCTCAGGTTTGAAGGGTGCCGGCTCATTGGGCCCTAGGTGAAGTGAGGGCAGGCTTTCAGATGTTGCCTAGTCTCCTCCCAAACCCCATTCTGAGCCTGCTTCCTCCCTGCCTGTCCAAAGGACTGACTACTAGAGTTTCCTTCTGCCCTCTTGGCCCCTAATCGCTGGCCTGAGCACTTTATAAACCCCTGGGACACGGGAGGGGGCTGGAACTGTGGGAGTGCACTACATACCCAGTGTGCTCAGACTGCGCAGGGCAGGTGCCTGCAGAGCTTCATGGAAGATGGCCACAGCGCCCAGCTCACCCTCCAGGGATGTGGGGCTGCCCCACTGAGTGTCCTGGGTTCCTGCAAGGGTGGAGCTGATGCTGCCCTCCTGCAGGGGGGCCACCAGCCCAGACCCCCAGCCCAGCCCTGTGGAGGCTGGAACCGACTGGGAGCGGGTGAGGGAGGGGTGAGTGGGGACTGGTGGCGCAGGCAGTCCTGTGGTGGTGGTCGTTGTGCGGTGCCCAGCAGAGCCAATACAACAGGAGGAGAAAGGCTGCAGAGTTGGGGTTGGGGGACTGGTCAGATCACAGCACAGCCTGGAACCTCACATACATCCAGTTCCTCATGGAGACCCCCTATGGCTGCACAGACCCCAGAGGCTGAAGTCTGAGGCCTAGGGGAGTAAAGGGCACACAGGAGCTCCAGGCCCCACCCCATTTACAGTGCTCCTAGTCCCCCCACTGATCCAAGGCCTCCCACACCTTGCCTGACACACCTCACTGAGGGAGGGACAACGAAGGGGAGCGGTTTTGACCAGATGGCCATCTTTGTAGACATGGACTAGGTTCTGGCTGAAGGGCCGGCGCCCAGGCACATGGACGATGGCCACACAATGCTGGAACAGAAGTCACAGCATTAGACCATACTTGGGATTTGGTACCTTCTCAACTGGGCCGTGTAAGAAAGAGGGGGGCTCACCCATGCAGAGTCAGCAAAGGACACTTCAGGCAAGCTCATGGTCATGTACTCCTTCCGTGTGCACACAGCCACCACCAGGGTCCCAGCTGCAGTGAAGAAGGCCTCAAATCCCGAGCCACTGCTGGTGAAGAAGCTGGGGACAGGCAAGCCGGTTATGCCTGATTCTTCCTGATCACTCTGGCAGTGGGTCCCTGGCCCCTGGCAGTCACCCACCTGTACAGCTGTTTTCGCTGGAAAGGCCGGGTGGGAGCAGAGGCAGGGGCTGCATCCATGGAGTGCAGACAAAGCCAGGCATGGAAGGTGAAGCCAGGTCCTGGCCATCGCTGCACAGGGGGCACCATGATGCCTGCCATGCTGGGTGTGAGGTCAAAGTAGCGCAGGGCACGTGTACGACCCTGATGCCGGGCCATTCCTGACAGTGCTCGGATGATGGCACCTGCATGTCGAGCCTTCTGAGCCTCAGTTCTGCCTGACCCTGAGTCCAGCCCTGGTGGGGGGTGCAGCAGGCGACGTAGCTCCGAGGGCCTTAGTGACACACGGCCCAGAGCTTGCAGCAATGCCAACAGTTGCTCCTGGCAGCGAGCCCCCAGGGCTATCCCTGTGCCAAGGGCTTCCAGTAGGTAGTCCACCAGACCTGCTTGCACACAGGTGGCACGGCTGGCAGGGCGGCTGCCACAGAGCCACCAAAGGCGTTGTGCTAAGAATAGGCGCAGCTCAGTCGTGGGCAATGCTGGCAGCCACTGCATCAGCACCAGCACCGGCTGCTCGTTGCAGATTGGTGGAGGCGGGCATAGGCTGTGGTCACCCTCCACAGCCTGCGGGTGAAGAGAATGTGACAGTTCCTGGTCAACTATGGCACCCTGCCAATCATGGGACTTCCTGTCTTGGTTTACTTGCCTACAGTATGAGAAAGTCACATGTGCTCACAGAGTCAGAGGTATATGGGTAACCATGACCATTATCAATCCTTCAGCACGGTCAACCTCCCTGTCTCCAACTGCCCATTCCCAAGCTGATCCTGGGGATGGCTAACACAGCAGCTTCTAAAGCCCCACCACCCAGAAGCCTCACCCCAGGGACACAAACATGTGGCTGGCCCACAAGGCCCTAACTCAGTCGGCCAGCTTTGAGAGCCTGGCCCCCCAGCCTTGCCCTCACCATGTTGAGCAGCTCTTGCAATAGCCGGTGGGTGGGGGTCCCATGGCTCTGCAGGACCTCTTGCAGGTGCTGGTAGCCAATGCGTTCCTTGAACACCTCCTGTGCAGCAGTGAGGAGAAAGTGAGTACATATGCTGGCCCCAGGGGAGACTCACCCATAGGAACCATGGTGGCATTGTATTTCCAGAGTCCCTTGTCTAAGTCACAATGCTTGTAGGGACAAGGGGCAGTGGAGAGACAGGGGACCCTGCATTCACCTCAGAAGGCTGGGAAGTCAGTCTATCCCTGACCAGAACATCCAGCTCGTAAGACAGACTAATGACTACCCCCACTCAGTGTACTGTGCTGCACCCCAGAAGGCAGTGTGGTCACTTGCTCTGCTCCAGGGAGAATTCTTACAGGCCAGTTCTGGGGCTATGTGGCCAACTATACCTCAGACTCCTATGGAGGCATCCTTACCTTGGCTGAAGGGGAGCCACTCATGATGCAAGTCAGCACCCTGACCACATGGACTGCAATGGCATCTGTGTCCTGGTCCAGTACCTTGGGGTGGGGAGGGGCAGTCAGGAGAGGCAGGTGCCATATGTTGCAGCTGGCAGCACCCTGCAGTAAAAAGGGTGCAGGGCCAGGCACCCTAGAATATATAGCATGTGTTTGATCAGCAATCCTGTCTGGAGACCAGCCCTCTAGTTGCCCCAACTGCGTGAGCCTACCCTGAACCTGGGCTTTCTCTGAGCAGCTCGGCAAGACCTGCTCTGCCAAAGAGGCCTGAGAAGAAACCAAGGCTGGAAAGGGCCTCACTGGGGCAGATCGACAGGAGATTCTCCCACTGCTTTACACACCCATGCATTCTCTGGTGGACTTACAGGTCCCAGCCTCTTACATTCCCACCCAAGCCGAACACACATGTGCAAGCAGGCCAGCAAGTGCCCCATCACCCATGATGATTGACAGAGGGTTGAAGAATACAGGGACAATCAATCACAGGATGTTAGCGCCAGAAGAACCTTCGAGACCTTGAAGTCCTAGCCTATCCCTCCCCGCTAGATCCAGGTGGGGACACTGGCTCAGTCTGTCTGAACCTGACAGCCAAAGGCATGCTGCTCATTCCTCCTGCCCCAGCCTGAAAAGGATTAGACTTTATCAGAGGTACTAAGTCATATTTTGGCCCCAGCTCTGCCCAACTTCCCAAGTGCAACCTCAAGCAATCTCCTTCCCCTCTCCAGACCTGTTTCCTTATCTATGAGAACAAAGAGAAAAGTTACCTTCCCCTGCCTACTTTGTACCTGAATGGACACATAGGCTCTCAGAAAATGACCATGTGCAATGGGCACAAGTTGTCTCATGAAGACCAAGTCAGGGTAAAGTCTCTGGAGGTTGGGACCCAGAATGGAGCCCGCAGGTGACCCCCTGCAGCTTCCTACAGCGTTCCTCCTCCATGCAAAGTGAGGCACGGTGAGCGGGGTGGGGCCCTGGAAAACTCCCAGTGACCTGTTTACGTGGGCATAAGGGGCCATGAAAAGAAATGGCCCCCTGTGGAGGACCTCTGCCTCTGTGAGTGACTACAGCCAAATCCCTGAGTATCTGGGTTTGTTTCCCTTTCCAAGAAATGAAGGTGGGTGACTGAGTTTCGAAGGTTCCTTCCAGCTTGGCAGAGCCACAACCCAGCATCTGATTCTAATACCAGGCAGGCAATAGAAGACTTCCTGCCCCAGTCTCTAGGATGGGAACTTGGAAGGGTTAAGACAGCATAGGTGACCCACCCCTACTGTCAGGCCATGCCAGGCCTCACATATCTACTCATGCCCCCTGCCAGAGTGCAGGAAAGGATCAAAGAAGGAACCCGGTGGATGATGACCCAGGGAGGTGGTGCCTAAGCTGATTAATCCCAGGATGGTACCTTCTGAACATCGGGCTCGGTCAGTAACCGGGTAGCCAGGTCACTGTCCCCCTCAGGGGGCGCCCGGGCCTGCAGGTATAGCTGTGGGGTAGGGGGACACAAGGTGGAGGAGGCAAAGGAGAAAAGAGGAGGAAGAGGGGAGATGGGGTTAGACCAGGACCAGGAATAGCTGCTAGGGCTCTGCCCCAGAGGGAAGTGGCACCCTGAGTCCCAGGCAAAGTAACCCCACCAGACCCTAGGGAAGAATGAGCCAACCAGGCTCTGCTAAGATGAGTGAGTGGGGCAGACACTGCATCCAGAAGTAGCTGAGCCCCTTCAACTCTGGTGCTGGGACCTGGGTAGCTCCCATAACACTCCCCTCCTGTGGGGCACAGAGCCATTCTGAACCTCAGGCTAGCCCTATAGAAGCCCAGGAAGGCAGACCTTGTCCATGTCCCATTGCCTCCCACTGAATACAGATCATGGCTATGTTGGCTCAGCCACAACCTGGCACCTCCACATAGTTCTCCCACCTCTGGATTCCAGGCCCTCTACCGCCAGCCTCAGCCCACCAACCTTGCTGTTTTGGATGAGGCGAATGAGGTGTTCAAAGCAATTGTTGCTGAGGAAGGTAGCTTGCAGCACTGGCCGGTCCTCACATGCCAGCATCATGGGGATGGCATCTGCAAGGGCCAAGGTCAGGCTCTACCTGACCCCCCTCCAGGCGGCCTTAAACCTTCTTCCCCCTGCTGCCCAGCCCAGCCTTTCCATCATTGCTGCCCCCTCCCCAAGAATCTGGGAGCCCATACCCACCGAGCATGCTGACCCGCAGGGTGACAAGGGCCTCTTCAGGGCCTGAGCTTGGACTAGCTGGCCAGTCAGCATTAAGGACTCGGAAGTAGCCCTCCAGGAGGGCACGGAGTTCTGGCCCACGGGGAGGTGCGCGGCTGGCGTGTAGGACATGCACTGCACCCACCAGTGCCTCCAGGGCCAGTGGTACAACGCGGGAGTCCTGGGGTGGCCCATGGCCCCAGCCCCACACCACACCCAGCAGGCCCTGCACAGAGCCGGCACTCACAGCCATCTGCCCATTCTCCTGCAGGTGAGGGCAGAGAGGGGCAGTGGGTAGAAGGCTCACCCAGCAGCAAGGCCCTGAGACACCCACCCCCTGGCCCACAGGTTCACCTCCCAGCCTACCTTTCCTCCTGCAAGGACAGCACCAAAGAGGTGGATGAGCCGCAACAGTAGCACCGTGGGCAAGTGGTCTGCATCCTGCAGGCTCTCTGGGTGGTGAGCAGGACAGAACAATGTCACCAAGGTGACTCTACAAGAGGTAGGTGTCCCAGCATGTGGTGTGGGGTGGGAGCTGGGCTAAGTAAGACCTGAGAGAGAACCCTGCCCTGATGGTCTAGGGGGCTGGGAGGGACACAGCTGGATTTGAGGGGCACATGGCCCAACCCTGAGGACCTGGGAAGGTCCCTAGCTCCTTAACCCCAAAGTAGGGGCCCAGGGTGAGCACATAGCCCCTTTACTCCCCATGACAACCCAGAGTTTAGTTTCGCAGATTAAATCTGCTCCCATTGATGCAACCCCTTCTGCGTCCTGCTCTGGGGACGCTGCTGTATCTATTACAGGCAATGTCCTCCCACTTGGGACTTCTAGGGGCTTTCACAGCCTCTTACGTGGGAGGCCCACCTGGCCCTGGCTGGACCATGGACTGAAACCCAGAGAGCAAAAAGGCCAGTCCTGGGTCACATGTAGGGGAGGAGGGCTGGTGTGATTCAGGCAGGCTGGGGTGGAGGCTTCCCTGAAAGGGGCTACTAACATTCTAGGAATAAGGGAACAGGAGTGGATCTGGGGAGCAGGCTGTGAGGAGCAGTGGGACTCAATCATGAGGGCACGAGGCTACCTCCCAGGGGTCTATGGCAGGAGGATCATAGTGGGAGGGTCTAAGAGAAGCACCTAGGTTAGGTGCATATGCCTCTAATCCCAGATACTTGGGAGGTGGAGGCAAGAGGATCACAAGTTCAAGGTCAAACCAACAAAGTTAATCAGATCTTGTCTCTAAAAAAACCAAATACAAACAAAAGGGCTGGGGGTGTGGCTTGCCTATCAAGGAGCCCCTGGGTTCAATTCCTAGTACTGCCCAAAAAAAGAAAAAAGAGAAAGAAAGGAAAAGGAAGGGAAAGGAAGGGCAGGTCAGGGAAGGGAAGAAAAAGTACCTAGGTTGTGGGAATGGAGGCAGGGAGCAATCCAGGGCCCTCCTCTCCTGGAGTTGCTGACCCCTCTCCGAACCTAGGCCCACAGCTCCAAGGGCATCACAGAGATACTGACACACTGAATACACCAAAAGACTTTATCTTCCCACAGCCAGTCCTGCCTGCCTCTGCTCAGGCCACTTCCTGCCCTGAACCCATCTCAAGTGCTAGTAAATGTCTCTTCAATGAGAGGAGAGAGGAGGTTACCAAGGAGAAGAGGTAGCTGAAGGTGTCCTGGGCACCACTCTGCCAGGAGAGAAGGAACAAATGGAGACAGCTAGTGTAGCCAGAGTCTTGAGGAGGGGGTAGAGACAAGATGGAGGTTACAGGGACCAGGGAGTTTTCAGGCTGACTAGATCAGAGCAGGGGTATAAGTGACTGAGAGGACCCAGGAGGGAAGGAAATTGGGAAATCCAGGGGGCAGGTCAACCCCCTGCCTAAGAAAGAAATTACTTTATTTTTTCAGTCCTGGGGTTTGAACTCAAGGCCTACACCTTGAGCCACTCCACCAGCCCTTTTTTTGTGAAGGGTTTTTTTCAAGAAATGGTCTCACAGACTGTTTGCCCGGGCTGGCTTTGAACCACGAGCCTCCTGATCTCTGCCTCCTGAGTAGCTAGGATTACAGACATGAACCACTAGTGCCCGGCTAGAAGAAATTACTTTGCTGAGACGTGCCTTTTCTTTTTTCTCTGCCCCTGAACATCTATCTACTTGGTCTTTAGACATGTGTGGCTCTCCCAGGCTTGCAAGCAGCCACCAGTCTAGTGCATGGGATCAGTGAACTGCAGGAGGGGAACTAGGTTTGGGGGTGGGGCCAGGTAGGGCAGGGCTGAGCCTGACCTTGGAAGAAGGCGCTGAATTCAGAAGGCAAAGTTGAAGGAGGGAACTTGTATTTGCTCTTCTCCTTGGAGCTGATGACTTCCCTGTGGGATGGGGAGGTGAGGCCAGGCACTGGGCTCCATAGCTTATACACAGGCCCAGTCCCATCCACCTCCACACCTTTGCCATAGGACTTTAGCCCAAAGCCCATCTTCTCCCCAGTTCCCTCTGGGTCCCTGCCTGAGGGCTGGCTCTCACCCACTGTGCTGGCGTCGCCAGGTCTGGTAGGGGTCAAAAAGGCTCTCACAGAGGAGCAGGGCATGCAGGGCCACATTCTCCAGCTGGGTCCCACGGTCCTCCTGTGGTGGTGGAGGTCCTTTCAGCTGCAGTGTGGGGAGGAGGGAGAAGGAGGGTTAGCCTTGCCACAGACACAGCTATTGCTTACCCCTTCACCCAAGGGGGCCCACCTCACCTCAGCCACCAGCCCAGTGAGCAGCGCCAATACACGAGGTACCAGCACCTGGCCCCAGCCTGCCTCTACATTGTCCAGGTTCCTGGGGGCAAGAAGGATGGGAGAGGTCACACCAATGTGCCATACCACCTACTCCTCCCAGGCCCACATGGGACAGACACGGAGAGGGAGCACCTGCATAGAATAATGAAGAGCTTGAGCACCAACAAGGCTTGCTCCAGGTCCCCCTGGTCCAGCTGCTCGGCCAGCACATGCAGGGCATCCAGTGGTAGCAGGGGAACCTCTGCACCCGCCTCCTCTGGCCTGCAGAGAGGGAGAGTCACTGGGGAGCTGAAGACCCTTCTGCCTCCCTGCATGGCTCTGCCCTCTGTACAGATTCAGCCTCACCTTTGTGGCTCCAAGGAGGACAGTAAGATGCTCTTCTCGAAAGCTCCCACGAAAGCCTTCAGCCACTGCTGCAGGTAGCCTAGGTCCTTCTGTAGGCAAAGGATTTGGGGGGGTTGGGGGGCAGAGGCATACAGTGAGCAGAAGAGAGACAAGATGTTGACAGGTGGAGAACAGAGGATGGAAAGGTTACAAGCAAAACAGTGGGGGTGAAGAGGAGGGAAGGGTAGGGTGGGGGAGACAGGAAGTTGGAAGGTCAGCACCAGAGGGTTGTAGTAGGTTAACCACTCTTGCAGGACCCCATCTGCTTTTCTCAGCCCCACCCCCAGTCTCTGCCTCCACCTCCCTATTCTTTGGCCACCCAGAAAGGACTGACAGACAGGGGAGGGACTTAGGTGGGTGTGGCTGTGGCCCACAGTGGTGCTGGGGCAGGAGGTCTCCCACCCACCAGCTTCCCCCTACCCTCACCCTTGAGCTGGGTCCTGCACTGCCACCTTCTCTCAACTCTGCAGCCACCACTTCCAAGAACCCTCCTCCACTGTGGATCCTAGGGCACATGTGCACTGTTGGGAAGGCACCCCGAGCATACCCACACTACTACAGGCTAGCATCCCTGCTGTAGAAGGCCCCTCCTTGCCCTGGGAACCTCCTCCCACCCTTGCTGGTTACCTGGACCCCGGGCCCCAGAGCTGGTTCCATGGACAAGGGGGACAGCGGCTGAGCCCGAGTATGGGCGCCACCAGGGAAACTTTGGTGTGAACGGGGAAACTGTCTCCTCCCGCCCGGCAGGGGCAGGAAGCGCAGAGTCACGGTGGGGGAAGGGGCCTCTTCCTCCCGGCAGACCGCAGGGATGTGGGGCGGGCGGGAGCCCGGTGCACCCAGGGCCCCCGCCCAAAAGGCAGCTGGGGACCAGGCAGGCGCTGGGGTGGTGCCTGGAGTACTGAGGGGCGTGGTCACTCTAGCCTGGGTGGGGCTAATTTTGCAAGCAGTCTGAGTTTGGGTTCCCATACCTGCTGTTAAGGTACCCTTCATGCAAAGTTCCCACAACTCCTCAGCCTGGACATAAGGCCTCAGGCCCAGGGGCTAAAGGGAGGATTCACCTAGACCTTTGACCCCTCCCATGCCCTGACCACTTCCATGCTCTGAACTCCAAAGGTCTGTGCTCTGAGACACAGCTGGGTAAATCCTAGCCTGCTACTAATCTCTGCTAACCTAAGGCCACTTGCAGGGCAAGGAGGTAGGTCCTGACCTCTACACTAGCCCCTCCCTTATTCCCCTCCCTGCTGGCCCCACCCAGGGATCCCAACCACTTGAGTCCAGAAAGCAACCTGTGAGGTGTATCGAGGCCTGAACTGGAAAAGGATGCGGGGGCAAGGCACCCATCACGGTCAGCACCCACCAGGCCTAAGGCTCTCCCAGGAGCCATGCACCATACAACCAAGGTCTCCCTTTGGATGGATGGCTTGCTTTTCCTGCCTGTAGTCCCCATACACAGGGCCAGACCTGGATGGACCACAGTGGACCTGGGGCAGGCCCACAAAAAACCTAGGCAGAACAGCCGTCCACTCTGTGGTTGGGTCCCTTCCTTGTGCATTGTAGCACAAACCCAAATGTCAGGCAACCCAAAAAGGGACCATGATCACCAAAGAGCAGGCCCACATCGCTGCAACTTTTTGTCTCTCGGTTACCTTTGTTGACCTCTGCACCCCCTGCTGCTGACAGCCTCCCTCCCCAGTTCCTGAAACACCAGAGGAGGCCAGATGTTATGGTTTGGATCTGGAATATCCCCTAAAAGCTCACGTGTTGACAGCTTGGTCCCCGATGCAGCAAATGTTTAGAGGTTGGGTTTTGGAACATGAGGGTTCTGACCTCACCAACAGATGAATCCATCAATGGCTTCATAATTTGATGGGCCACTGGGAGGTAACAAAAACTTAGGAGGTGGGACCTAGTTGAAGGGAGTGGGTATGGGGGAGTGCCCTTGAGGCCTATGTCGTATCCCTAACCCCTTCCCTTCTCTCCCCCCTCCTCCTCCTTTCTCTGCTTCCAGAGATTGCCATCAGGTGAGCAGCTTTCCTCTGCTGTGCCCTTCCACCATGATGCTTCCGTCATGCCACAGTCCTAAAAGCAAGGAGTCAGCTGACCATGGACTGAAACCTCTGAAACTGTAAGCCAAAGTAAAACTTTCCTTATTAATTAATTAATCATTGGCAGTACTGGAGTTTGAACTCAGCGTCATGCGCTCTACCCCTCGAGCCATGCCCCCAGACTTTTTTGCCTTAATTTCACGTAGGTTCTCATGTTTTGCCCAGGGCCAGCAATCCTCCTACTTACTGCCTCTTTGTAGCTGGGTTCAAAGGCATATACCACCATGCCCAGCTTATTAATTAAGATGGGGTTCTCACTTTTTTCCTGGGCTGGCCTCAAACCATGATCCTCTTGAGTAGCTGAGATACAGGTGTGAGCCACTGCAGTGGGCCAAACTTTTCTCCTTTAAGTTGATTCTGTCTCAGCAATGGAAAGCTAATAGGCCAGGGCTCCTGAACCATTTCCTCTGAACCTTCCCATTACAGGTAGGTACATGGGAGACCCCAGAGGGGCTTCAGTGTACCTTTCAGGATGCTAGAAACCAGACCTTTGTTCGAGGCCAGGACCGCTCAAAGATGCTAGTCAGTCTAAGCTAACTGTGTGATCCGTGACCTCTACAGCTCAATGCCTTTAAAAAATGTTCCAACAGGGGCTAGCCTAGCAACAAAGTGCTCGCCTAGCAAAGGTGAGGCCCTGAGTTCAAACTCTAGTCCTGCAAAATAAATAAAAAGTCCTACACTGTCTTCCCTCTTCTACCCCAAGCCACTCCCAGTTAAGCCAGTCCTTTGGGCCTTTTTGCCACCACAGCTCTGTCCCTGCCTCCAGAATAAACACTCACAACTGCTGAGCCTGACACTCCGAGGCCTCCTGTCCAGCCTCTGCCCATCCTCTTGTTCAGGCCTCTGCATGCCCTACCCTCACTGCCATGGTGACTTGGGCTTTGGGTACTTAAGCAGGAAGGAACCTGCCACCCTCTTCATGGGCATCACCTGGGTAGGTCTTCCCAGATCAAGGCAGGTCCCTGTCCCTTTGCACACTCCTTTCTGTCCTGGAGCCACATCCTTGCTCTGTCCAGTCCTGTAAACTTCCAGCAAATAGAAGCTGAGCTGGGTTCAGAACTGGGGTACTCAAGACAGCCTTCGTGGGCTCTTGGGGAAACATGAGAGGGTCTCTAAAGCATAGAGCTAAGCAGCAACGTAGTAAATACCTGTCCCACCTCTCTGGGTCTCACCTCACCTTAAGAGGCCATCTCTGACCTGGTCTCTGTGTCTTAAGGCTGCAGCGCTAGAGTCCCTGCAGGAGACAGAGCAAGGTGGAGCACGGGAAGGATGGCCTTGCTGCATGTGAGGGTCCAGATCCTAGACGGTGCAGCTGTGGTGCCTGGGTTCCTTGTGCTCCTCTCAGGACCTCTGCCTAGTTGGTCCCTCCTACCCTGTCTAGCTCTGAGAAGGAATATGGATACCAACCCAACGCCCCACTGGGCTCAATCCTCAACCCTGCCCCTTGTCTGAAACACTAAGGTAACCCAGGAAAGGGCAGGTGGCCGTGGCATGGGGGGAAGTTGGCTGTCTGCCAGAGGGACAGTGCCTACTAAGCCGCCTGGCACAATGTTGTCCCTGGACTCTATTTGACCTAGTCCAAGCCCAGCACACAGAGGGCCTCCAAAAGACATCAGTCACCCTCACAGGGTGGCTGTCCACAGCGTTCCCTCACATCCAAGGCACTGCATGGGTGGTGTCTCTTCATCTCCAGCCTAGTACCTCAAACCCACTGAATGCCCTAGTCCAAATGCATTACTTGGTCTGCCCAAGCTTTTTCCTCCATGTTAACTCTGCTGAAACACCAGGGCCAGCAGTCTTCCAAATGCCACCTCATTTGGGGCCTCAGAGGCTGAGTTACTAACAGAATCAGTGCTGACGGAATAGGTTCTGGAGTCCCGTCCCTGCTCAATTACCAGGCAGCTGTTAAGTTAATGTGAACCTCTCAGAGCCTCAACTGCCTCTTTAAAACAATTCTCATTGGGTGCCTGTGGCTCATGCCTGTAATCCTAGTTACTCAGGAGACAAAGAGCAAGAGGATCGCAGGTTGAAGCCAGCCCCAGCACATGGTTCTCGATACCCTATCTTGAAAAAAACCCATTACAAAAAAGGGCTGGTAGAGTGGCTCAAGGTGTAGGTCCCGAGTTCAAACCTTGCAAAAAAAAAAAAAAAGGTAAATAAATTTTTTAAATCCCCTTTGGGGCTGGGGATGGGGCTCAAATAGAGCACTGGCTTAGCAAGTCCAAGACTCTGAGTTCAAACCTCAGTATTGCCAAACAAAAAACCCAATCCCCCTTGGAGCTGGGGGCATGGTTCAAGTGGTGGAATGTTAGCAAGCATGCAAGGCCAAATTATTTTTTTAATTAAAAATAAAATAAGCCGGATGCTGGTGGCTCACATCTGTAATTCTAGCTACTTGGGAGGCTGAGATTGGGAGGATCATAGTCTGAGGCCAGCCTGGGCAAATAGTTCTCGAGACCCCCACGCCAAAATAACCAGAACAAAATGGACTGTTGCTGTGGTTCATGCAGCACAGCACCTGCTTTGCAAGCACAAAGCCCAGTCCCACCACCACCAAACAAATAAATAAATAAAACAAAACAATCCCTTTGTTCACTGCTCTTCAGCCACACCCACCCAGCACAGCATGGGGGTGGAGCAACCAGGAGTTCCTCCTCACTGTCTGAGGCCTTCTGGGTTCTCCCAGGTAGCTGCTTTAGGTAGAGGAAGTAGAATGCTTGTGGGTCCTAAGAAAGAGCTTGGAACAATCACGCTCAACAGGGGTCAGTGCTGCCTGGGTGGTACTGAGTGCCCCATCTCCAGGGACAGAGAAGCAGAAACGGGACAGGTGAGACGGATCTGTTCAGGCCTAGGGGCACTCACCCAGCATCATGGGGGCAGGGAAAAATCAAGCCAAAGGAAGCTTCTGGTTACCTCACAAGGACTGGAGACCAGGCTTGGAAGACTTCAGGCCATGGGATGCAGCAGGAAAATGGGAACTTTACCATGGGCAGGCACGAGTGAGGACAGCGGTCTAAGTGCCTGTGTGGCTGGGCCAATTTCTGGCCCTTATCTGGAGAAGGGTGCTAAAAGGTGTTCTGATCCCAATAACACCTCCTCCCCACCCCCCAGACTTAACCATCCCCTGTCTTATCACTATGGAAACTGGGAATTTCCTTCCAGGGTGCCCATAGCAACTGACCCTGTTTCCATGGGGACGCTACACTTCCCCATCAGCTCCTCAGTTGCCATAACAACTCCAAGGATTACCAGCTTCTCCTCCAACCCTAGGCTCTGTGCTAATCTCCCCATTACCTCAGTCCCTCCCTCTTCAGTTACCTTGGCAACAGAGGCAGGAAGAAACCAGTTACCACTCTGGAGTATGAAGGGGACCAAGTATACAGAAGGTGAGTCCACCTCCCCTTTGCCCATTTCAAGAAGGTAAACTGAGATCCAGGAAGAAACTGGACCCAGCTAAGAACCCAAGGCAGCGGAGGACCTGACCAGGTTTCCATGAGGTGATGGAGCCCATGGTCAGGGACTGGAGTGAGGGGTGGTGCAGGGCAAGGTCAACTCCTGCTCTGACCTGACCTCCTGGAACCCTGAGTCTTCAATGGTATAACTGGAGAGTTCAGCATGGACTTCCCACCTGGATCCTGAGTGTTTGTCCTGCCCTGGACCCTGAGTGCCCCTTCGCTCTTGGTACTCCCCCTCTCACTGGGGGACAGCACCATTGCTCCAGCCTGCAAAGGGGCTGCTCATTTGCATGCTATTTTGCATTAACTTGTACATGCTGCCCAACTGCCAGCCTGTTAGGTGCTGTCCCAGTCCCCTTGTCCTCTCATGTCCTTCCTTATGCCCTCTCTAGGGATGCCTGCTGGGTTCCAAGTCTGCAGGATGTGTCTTCACCCATCCACCAGGTGTTCTGGGCTACCTCTGCCCTGCCACCTGCTCCTGACAACTTGCTTCTTGTATTTCCCACTGCCATGTGCTTGCTCCTGCTGATCCTGTCCCTTTATCCCTTGACACTCCAACTCTGGGATAACTTCCTTGATTGGTCACTACTGTGGGGACCATCATCTCCTCATTCACTAAGCTAATGTCCAAGGAGTACTTACTAAATCTGAGGTGCCAGAAAGCAAGGAGAAATAGCCTGTGCTGTCGCAGGTTAAGACCCACCCGAGGTTTCCTGCCCACAGACTAAACTTTTTCAGGCTAAATAAAACTCTTCTTGATCTTGGTATGACCCTACTTTTGTTTTTCCACCAGAGCCCTGATAAGTTCCAGTGGTGTCCAGGGCACTTTGACACTCCCTCTCTTTCCTTCACTCCATTGCTTCCCATAGCCCCCAGGACAGCAAGGTCCACTGGAGTAAGGCAGACCCAAATGTGGGGTCTTTAAAGGGAGAGGAAGGGTGGCGGGTTGGGCAGGCACTAGATCTAGGTTCTGTCCTCAACCAAACCCACAACTGGGGAAACAGGTTTGCCAGCTGATGTCAGCTTTCACTGCTGAAGGGAGGGGCAAGGTGAAGCTGGCTGGGTGGCCATAGCCACCAACAGAGGGTCTCTTAAAACCCTGTATCAGCTCCACCCTGAACTTTCACCCCCCCTTCCTAAGCACAAGCACACGAGGGCACGTGCTCACGCGCGCGCGGGCACACACACACACACACACACACGTCCTTAGCAGGGTTCAAAACTGCTGTCCCTCTCTGGGAGTCCAGCACACAGGGGTGGGCTGGTGTCCCAGAAGCAGGAACTGGCGGGCAGGAAGGTAGTACAGGGAGGCTGGCCGGGCTTCCTCTCCCCAGGAAGACTGGCCCCACCTAGCACCCTGGTTTGCTCTCACATCCTGGATTTGTTGGCCTGGCCCCAGGCTGCCCTCTGGCTGCCCAGGCTTTCAAGACTACCAGCAGCCCAGCGAGGTGAGGAGCTTGGGCGAGATGGGGGGGGGGAATCCAGCACAGATACAAGTGCTAAACAAATCAATCATGATGGGGTAGAGGGTGACCATAAGCAGAGCTCAGCTGAAGGGCATTGGGAGGTAACCCTGCTGGAGGTCCAGTTCCGGGAGGCTGTACCAAGACCTGAGTGGAGTAAAGAGGCAATGTGTGGCCCTGTGGCTTGCACTCTAGGTCCCCAGGAGACATCAGTCAGTCTCTTCACAGGGGGCCAGCTGGTGTGAGCATGAACTTCCCCCAGTGACAAGCTGTTCAGGGGCACACAATGGTCCATTGTGCCCAGGGCACACCTGAGCCAGGAGCACACCACGGTGCCAGGCAGGTGCAGAGAGGGAGTTACCCTGGGATCCCCCCTCCAGCTGCCAGTGCAGAAGGAAAGTGGGGCTTATGCGTGTTTGGGGGACACCAGATCAGAAACACCAGGGGCAGAGTCACTCCCCTCACCTTCTGAAGTCCCTGAGATAGTCTCTGAAACAGGAGTGGGGACTCAAGAGGAAATGACCTCCCTCCATCCCTTTCAGGCTCACCCTACACGCACCCTGCCCACTCCAGAGTCGAGCTGGGGCTGCCTCAAGTACAGGAGGAGCTCATCTCTGCCACTTCTGGGATGGGGGAAGGGGGGATTCTGAAGTGAATTAAGTCAGACCTGCAGGAGGAACCCAGCCTGCGGCAACCTCCAGCCCATTCAGACACGACCACATAATCAGGCTGTGCTCACAGTCGAGGCAGCTCACATGCAAACTGAGTCCCTCTCTCCTTTTCCACTTAGTCGGTCTCTCTCCAAGCCTCAGTTTCCCCAACTGTAAAAGGGGGAAGTGCCCGGTCAGCACGACTCAGGCTGTGCGGTTCCTCTAGAGGGCTTGCCGTGAAGGGCGCACCCGCAAGAGATGTCCCCCAAGTTATAAGTGCCTGAGGCACCCGACGGGCCGGTGGACACACGTGTGTGCAGAGCCGGGGCTCTGTGCGCGCGCTTGTACGCGGCCCGCGCGCGGCAGCGCGGGGCGCAGGTGCAGCAGGCACACGGCGCGCAGCGCTGGGGGCGCGGGGACGCGGGGGCGCCGGGCGGGGCGGGCTCACCTGAGCGTAGTAGAGCAGCCACAACTCGTACAGCCGCTCCGAGGCGGCCATGGCCTGACCCGGCTCTGGCCCTGCTGTGCGCCACCTGTCGCCGCCTCCTCCGCGCCGCCCGCCGGTTGCCTCCGGCCAGGCCCATGGGCGGAGGGCGTCACTCCGGGGCGGAGCGGCGCAGTAGTGCTGGGGGGAAGTCCGCGGCTCCGGCCCCAGCCGCACTGAGCTACCAAAGTCTACAACGCTCCTCCTCCTCCCGACCGGCCGCCGCCCGGCTTCCTGCACTCCGCTGCCGCCGCCGCCGCCGCCGCCGCCGCCGCTGCCGCCCCGCCTCTCCTGGACCGTGCAGAGGGCGGGGAGCTGGGCGGGAGGAGGAGCCTGAGGTCAGGGCGGCCCTGGAGGTCGTCCTGCCGTCCCGCCCCCAGCAGGCCGCGCCCCACCAGCGGCCT